GGAGATGGAATGCTCGATTACTTTGAAGAGGCTGGATTTTATGACTTTATCAAGGCTTTGTTAGAACAATTACAGGGTAAGGGGAGATAATGGTCCATGAGGCTGGTAAGAAAGACTGCAGAGCTCCTCAGGTCAACAGGTTCAAGTATAAAACCACTGTTTTTGAAATTCTCCTTTAAAAGTTAGAGGAATTGTTCCCTAACATCATTAATGATGGCACTTGTTTCAGTGTAATGGCACAGGCAGGTTCCCCTGAATGAAAATGGAAAGTGGGCTTCAACAAGAGCAGAGGCCAGAGGCGTAAACGAGCTTTCATCACTGAGTCATTTTTCCATCCTGCCTTAAAATCAATAGGATGCCTGTGTTTTAGCACGGAGATGGCCGTCAATACAGACCATTAACTAATGTGGAACAAGCAGAGAGAGTGTGAGTGTGACCTTTATTTTGTTACAGGACTGTGTTTAAGAGCTTGGTACGGCAAGATCAGACAGTTTTCAGTAAAACATGTATAAATCATCAAAAGATTGCTATAAAACTTGCATAGAGTCATGGTCCCCATTTAAAAAAAATCTATATAGTGATCTACAGGCTATTTATTCGCAAAAAAATTGTCTAAAACCAACACAGCCTAGCTTATTAAAGGGATATTCCAGCGTAAAACCTCACCAACAAATGCAGCCTCTTAGTTTAGTAAAATTGGGGAGTGAATAGCTGTTTATGCTGTAAAACAGGGCTTACTTTAACTGCATAATTGTTAGCATCACAATGACAATACTACTTATCTATATGTATATCATGTTCAGGAAGTAGTGCAAAGTTATGTTCAAAGTTATGCTCGGTTCTCTGTGAGTCTTGGACATAACCATACTTTGGCCCCTAATGATAGCTTTGGTTCAGTGTTGAATCAGCAGGATTTTAGACCACCAGTCTCCTTGTTTTATTTCAGAATAACCAGAGTTCAGGGCTGTGTTTTAAGAACAGGTTTGGAGCAATACTCCTTCAGTGTTTTCTGTCCTTGAGAGCTACTTTCAACTACCGTGTCCTTCCATAACAAGCAAACACAGGTAATTCCTAAATCCCTAAACTCTGCAAACATTTCCAAGCGGCTGTGTCACCGCATTACTTTACACACAGCTCATAAAACCATGATTACACACTTTGCTTTATCAGGCCTCAGCCCGATGATGTAATCCGAGGCTGTTACTGAAATGCAAACATACCAGCAGGAACACGCAAGGTGTGCTTAAGACGGGGTGCAGAGAGCGGTTTGGTAGAGCGCCGGTTAAGATGGGTCATTAAAAACTGTCTGTCTGAGCCGACTAGACTGTTTGTATTGCCAACATGTAATAAGTGCAGTTAAAGGGTCAACACCAAACAGCTAATGTTAGTGTTTGGTGTTCCCTTATTGAACATGCGCTCTGTTGTCAGTGCAAACACCAGCCCCAGCCTTCAAACTCCACTTTGTGCAAACACGCCGAAGGTGAACAGGAAATCCGATCTCGCATGATGTCATTGCTGCTGCTTTGGTTCGCTCCCAGCTCTGACTTTAACAGGAGCACCACCAGACTTTGTGCTGAGCTCTGGCTTTCCTTGTAATAAAGAAAACCCCAACTATAAATCATGAAAACATCCAGCTCCTTGCCTGCAAAGTACGACTCACGCATAATTTCGGGTTATGGCGAGGAAGGAAAGTATGTGTTTGTTTGTATCTTTCATGTTTACTCTGAAAAATATAATTACTACCATCTAAATACAGGAGGATAGCTGTATGTCTTTTTTTGACCTGGAAATGACACTAGATTGAGATAGGCAGAGCTACAGTAAACAAAAACGCCACATAAGCACAGGCTGGGTCAAATTCGACGTGCAAAAGTTCTACTTTGCTCCTTTTTTCCTTCCTACTTCATTCTGTCTTTAAGTTGCAGGACTTGTTTATCAGTCTTTGTTAGCATTTCCCCTGAAGGTTGAGACTCATTTCTGATGGCAATCATTAATCATCATTTCAGTTGAGTTTAATCACACACACTAATCTTGTAAAAACAACAATCTTAGCATTAGTGGCAACATTCCAGTGTTAGGTAGTCATGCGCAACACATAAAAATATATTTAGTAGATTGATCGGATAGATCCTGTCGCGACCAATAATTGCCAACCAATTAGTCTGTAGTTAACCCCTTTTTGTCGAGAGAAGGGCTGGTTAACAGCAGCTAATGTACGCTGACTCAAACAACACGCCTGTGATGTGCTCATCTTCCTGACAGCGAAGTAAAGGCTGCAGGCGACAGTGACTGCGCTGAGAAGGTCAAATGACTGCCTCAGAAACCGTTTTAAGCCGCTCGCCCCTTCAAAAGTCATTGAAGAGTAAGAGCCGTGTGTTCGTGCCACGTTTTTGCGCCACTGCCATCGTTGAAATTCAATCATGTTTGCGTGTTGATGCTTTTTACAGGCTTGGAAACTTGACCTTTTGAGTCCCTTTGCTCCTAAACAAAAAGACTCGTTATGTAAAGGAGATGTCAGATTCATGCATAAGATAGCAGTCATTTCCATGACGTTGAGGAGTCCACAAGGCGTATCAGGTACTAAGGAGGTGAATTATGTTGTTAAACTGAGCATGTCCGCTCCGAGCTACAAGTGTTCTCTGTGACTGATATGTCAGGGCAAGCTTTAGGTTGATTTTACCCTTGTTAGAAAGACAAATAAATGCTCACTGTTATAAAAATACTCACTTTCTCTGAGCCAGCAAGTATGAACACGCCTCAGTGAGGCTTGTATAATGAGCTGCCACTTCACCTCTTCTCAATTCGAGCTGGGTGCTCTATAGGCACAAGTAATGCGAGTGCAAACATGGCAACATCAGCAATGCTAACATGCTCATGTATAATATCTTTTATATTTGCTGTTTTTACTTAAGCATGTTAACTTTACAAGAGGAAAAGATTTGTGCTGCTTTGTGAGTATCTGGAAGTAGTCCAATGTTTTCTGTACAGTTTTGTAACTCGATTAAAGCTACTGTCAGGAGTTTTAGTTGGTTATAAAACAGGGTGGAATTTACAGTGCTGCTTCTTTATGACCTCCTAAAGCACAAAAGACCATTAGCAACTCCATTTCCTGCGTCTATTTTGTAGTTTTTAATGCCTGCAACCTGTGCAAGGGAGTAGGTGTCAAAGGAAATTGATAGCATGCTAAAGGAAAAACCAATTTCAGTGTCAATATTTACATTTCTAATGTGTTTGACTGCCAAAAAAGGGCAAGATGCCTTATTTATATATATGTATATACATATATATATAACACCCATATACAGCACAAATACAAGGTATCCCATGGGACGCCAAAATCGACTGATGCAAAAGTTACCTACAGGATCTTTAAGTGGCTGGATGTCCAGATATGAAGGAGAGTTCAAGGAAAATCAAGAAGTCTGATGCTCTGGGTCATGCTTTTATACCACATATCATTAATCTACACCTTTAGTTGTTATTTTATTCTATGCATTCTATTGTTTCCTATTACCTAAATAGATACATTATATAAAAATTCAACCTGCATATAGTGTGTTTAAGTAAACTAATGAGCTACATGCAAAAACTGTTTTCTAAAACAGGTTGCAAACATGTTAAAACCTGCTGTAAAGTCAGTCATTTTAACATGGGACCTAATGGGATTCCTTGGATTTTGCAGCCAGCCCCAAGTGGACACATGAGGAACTGCAGTTTTTCAGACTTCATTTTTTAACACTCAAGGTTTCAATGTTATCAAAACAGGTAGCTATCCAATTAAAGAACATCTATTTTTGGTCAGAAAACAATAATTTGGAAAGAAAAATGTCAATGCATACTTGAAAAAAAATAACTGTTTTCCAAACAAGATGTTTCCACTGTCACAAAAAATTATTTCTACCAATTTTCTCCAAACTTACTTTCGCAATATGAAGGAAAAAATCTTCAGGTACATCAGGTTGCATGTTGGTGGGCATGGCTCCTGGATCATTATGGTCCAGTCATCACAGCTCAGGTTTCTATTTGCTCAATCTCTAGAGCTGGCATGAGTCATGATGATAATGTGCTCTGAAATGTTTGAACAAGCGACGACACAGGCTAATTTCACAGGCCCCGTCTAACGCTGTGGAGGAGACCAAATTTGTATTCAACAGGAAATAAAAAGTCTTTGTTTTGACTGTGGTTTAAAAGATAATAAAAGAGGTCTTGTTCATGGGAAAATCCTGACTGGCATCTTGATAACTCAGCGCTTTAGAGTAATTCATCTTTGGCGCCACTGTTGCAGAAACTTTACACCATTTGCCTGGATTCAAACCAGGCGTGACGCAGTAGCAACATCTGATATCACATCAAAAGGACTTGTTCAGACAAGCCTTAGGTAAACCAACCAGCGTCTCCTGAACTTAGAGGGCTTGGTCTCTAAATCCACCGGGGCTGTTAAAACAACAGGTGCTCAGGGGAAGCTCAGCTGTTAAGTGCAAGCAGTAGCAAGCTTGAGGTTTTGCTCACAGCATGATAAAGGGGGACTGTTCTGTCTTGACCCCAGAATGAAGGAGTGAAAAAGCAGACCCCTGGTTTCATTAATGAGGAGACTCCATGTTTGGTGTTAACAGACTGTAGGATTGGACTCCATGCGCAGGACTCAACACAAACTGTGTGAGCGGTTGCTAAGCAGCTGTGCTTGTCAGCATGCAGACAGATGGGCTGCCATATTTTAATGGAGAGCTCTGTCTCTTTATCCCGGCTTTATTAAGTCTCGAGTGACAACAGTCTACCCAAGTGCTGCTCCTCATGGCCCTATTATCCTGTACAGTAACTATAAATCTTTGTTCATTTCATTTAGGCTTGTTTTAGCTTCTGATTTACACAATATAACCTCCAGCAAGAGTGAGTGCATCTTTCTCTTAAATAAAAAATGTATTTCGGTGATGTATGGCAGATGCTGAAAGGCCGTCTGTCAGCATGCGAGCGTTGGACCACACAAAAGCAGCACACATCGATTGAATCCAAAGGTCACTTTTATTTAATTCAGTGTGAATAAATTCAATACTGTCACATCGACAGCTCTAGAGAACAGACTCTAGAGTTCTCCGAAACAACTAGGACACACAACACATGTCTAATGATTTGAAAACTACGCACTAGATGACTTTATTTTGAGTACGTAACGAGGTCAAAGTCAGCTCAGGTCCAAAAACATTTGACCTTTTTAACACTTACGTAAAAACCACTTGTCTGTTCCATACAAGAGAGCAGGCCGTGTGGTACGCTTCCATGTAGTGATCAATACTTAAAAAAGTCAAATACTATAAAATAATACCTAACATGACAGCTTTAGCAGCACTATAAGTCAGTAAACGGGCTGTACACAAACACACACACACACTGTCTTAGATTCACATCTTTCCTTTAGGGAAACTTCGACTCGCTGTGTCGTTTTAATACCAGTTTTTAAGCCGTCAGCACTTTAAAAAATATGCTCTCTTGGCCTCTTCCGATAAAACAACAGCTACTTCATGATAAGATGATTAACACCAGTTACAGCAGCATTAGCCTTTTCAGGAAAAAAACTGTATGAAAACTGGCCAACAGCAGCGCAACTTAAGAGACAAATAATGCTATTAGAAGCTAAAATATCCATTAGCTTAATCCCGCTAATGACTTAATTGCCTCCAAGAATGTGCTCCTGCTGTTTCATGCTCTTAATTCAGCTGGATGTCTCCACTTGAAGGAGATCCCAGACTGTAAAAAAAAAGTTGATTAAAAAGGGCTGCGTCTGTGTTGAAATCCTCTGATAGCGACTTTGGGGCCTTTGCTGTCGTAAAGACTCATAAAAACAGTGCTAGCTAATAAATTCAGCGAAAATACTGGAGATGAAAAGTGCAGTGAATTCTTCATACCAGAGCCGTGGAATGTAACTCGGTGTTTTAACACTTTTTTTTTACAACCTACTTGAGATTCATATGACAACAAATCCCGACTGTGAGCTGAATAGGTAACACACTCTGAGTTTATATGTCAACATACTATTCTGGGAGCAGTTCAGTCTACCTACAGCAGGCTTGTGTGAATCACAGTGTTTAAAGCTACGTGGAGATATCAGGCTCTTCATCATTGTCAGTGTACGGTTCACATTTCAGTGTGCATATATTCACAGATTACTCAGCACAATCCTGCAGATCTGAAAGGGTTGAGTTCTCCTGCTAGATCATGCCTTTGTGGTGTCGTGTGGGGCTACATCAGAGTTCTTCATATGGAATAACTACATGTGAAAAGAGCGAACAAAAGGAGTGAACGAATCGATGTGTTTCTATGAGAGCACAGTGAGCGTGACAGTTCCTTTGGTCCTTTTCAGGATGCCGACGGCTTCTTCGTGGGTTACGCCATCCAGAGTCTGCCCGTTAACCGCCATGATCTGGTCTCCTCTCTTAAGGCGCCCGTCTTCTGCCGCCGCCCCCTGAAACAAGGAGCAGAGCTGTGAGTAAAAAATGCGCCAATTTATCAGCTCTGTGAGTATTAACTAGAAGATTTTTCACCGACCTTTCCGAAGACAGTTTTAACATAGATGGGCAGGTCTCCGTGTGGACTGCCGTACCCTCCGACAATACTGAAACCAAGTCCGTCTGGGCCTCGTTCAAGAGTGATGGTCTTGTATTGAGGTGGGCTGATAGGAAGACAGAAAGCGAGAGATTAATACTTTCCAAAGGCTCAGCGATTAAAGGGAATTTCCGGTGTAAAATTAATTTTGGGTCAAATACACCATAACATTGAGTTAGACACCACCTCAAGAGAATGTTGCCGACGGCTTGCTTCTCTAGTTATACCAACTTTAGTAACGACCGCAGGATAGCAATACACAGAGCCACGCACTCAACCAAACGCCACTCTATAGCCACAAATAATGCCCAGAACAGCACCTAACTTCATCAACAGTACATATAGGGTCCCAGCCATAGTACTAGCCACCAAACATCTTTTTAGCTTTGCCTGATTTCTTTAGTAAAGAGACTAAAGACAACTCACCAACTCTCTTCCAGCAGCCGCTTGTTTGTAGCAAGACCTCTGGGCCAGTCCATTGCGGACTACAGCGGGGTGACGCAGCTCAAGGAAGAACATTTATGATCATTTGATGATAAAATGAAAATGATAAAGTACTGATCGTAAATGTTCTTCCTTGAGCTGCGTCACCCCACTGTAGTCTGTAACTACAAACAAGCCGCTGCCGGAGGAGAGTAGGTGAGTTGTGTTTAGACTCTTTGTCAAAGAAATCAGGCAAAGTTAAAAAGATGTTTGGTGGCTAATACTATGGCTGGGACCCTAAATGTACTGTTGATGAAGTTAGGTGCTGCTCTGAGCATTATTTGTGGCTATAGAGTGGCGCTACAGTTGAGGTTTGTTTATGGGTCCTCAGACCGCTGTGTTTTGCTATGGTGCGGTCATTACTAAAGTTGGTATAACTAGAGAAGAAAGCAGTCGGCAAGATTCATCTCTCGAGGGGGTGTCTAACTCTGTGTTATGGTGTGTTTGACCCTAAATTAATTTAACGCCAGAATATCCCTTTAAGTAGTTGTAAATCACTGCACTTTTAAATCTGGTCTGGTTCCTGCAAATAAGTTGAGTTGGCCGTTATGTCGCCACTTATTCTCGAAGGTTCATACCCGAGGTCATCCTGGAAGATGCAGCTCGGTGTCAGACCTCCAGCTGCTTGCTCCTGAGAGGGACCAGTCACTGTGGTGTCACCGCCTGCTACCACCTAAACACACAAGCATCTACACATTAACAAAAGCACACTAGGCTTGCATAATAGAGACAGATAGCAGGCTGACAGACAAGTTTTATGGACGATCAAAGAGAGCCGGCAGTAGCCTTTCGACTCGTCTCTTTGTACACAGATAAGAGTGAAGACGGCTTGTCATTGTGGGTTATCTGACTGAGTCTGCAGGGTTATCATATCATAATGTTCATGTTCGTGTACTGACCTGCAGCTGTATTGTGCCGGTGGCGTTCTTGAGCAGAGCCACCGCCTGAGAGTGGGTCATGCCTTCAGCAGAGGTTCCACAGATACTCACGATGCGGTCCCCAATCTGGAAAAGTAAGAGTTAGATCCACTTGAGGGGACTATAGGAAAGAAAAACAACTCCTAGCATTCCCAAGAAAGTCTGGAAACTCTAGATGCAGATGAGACTCAGGGTTGCTTAAGTTTGCAACACATAACCTAGTTTAAATAAAGAGCAAACTCTGATGTTTTCTTTTCCCCGAAAAAGCTGTATGAATATGGAACAGCACAGCAGGAGCACTTTTTAAACTTGGAGAGGTACTTTTTCTTTCTTTGAAGCACTTTCAGTGTGAAGAGAGGATATGAGACACAAACTGATATTGAGGAAATTTTAATATTTGACACCACACAAAAGCAAAATTATCCTCGACTGCAACTGAGTAATTTTATTATGTGGAGTTCTCATCTTTCACTCTGGCTGAAAAGATGACGCAGCATGAATATACCATTCAAGATTTACCCCTCTCCTTTTCAATGAGCCCTTCTGTAGGCTCACTCAACTGAATGCAGGAGTGGGAGATTTATTATCCGCACTCGCAGCGGCCATTGTCCGCCTCCAGTGTGCGTGACACAGAGATACAATTGTCATTAGACAGCAAAGGTCTCTGCTAAAGGCGGCGTGCTCTTGACCTTTTGGTCGGATTTGAGATTCTCAGACGGAGTAAAACGAGTGGGAATATCTGAGGTTCACATTTGAGCCCACACAAGAATGACTGCTATCCAATTGTTCGGAATTTAATGACGGGCTCCACTTACAATACAATTCACAATGCCAAGTTTAGTATTTTTTTTTTTCCAGGGTGTAACACGACGAGGTCCGAAGGCTCTTCTATTTTTTTATCTTCGCACTTAATAAAAAGAAAATGAGGCTCCATGGTGTTGTTAACAGAAGTCAAGGCGCTGTGCTTCTTTACAGAGTGCTACTATGCTGTGATGTGTCATGCATGACGTTGCACTGCTGTATCATGTCGCAATGTACCATATTACCATATTTTAAATATCCACTCAAGTTGAGACATTTTCGCTTCCGCCCAATTCACGTCAATCGCGCCACCAGAGTAGCAGGAGCGTCTAATATCGTCTTCACATTGACTTAACATGTAATTCATTTGCGTGAATGATTTTACTCGCGCTTGATGTGTGGAAACAGTAAGTACTTGGCTGTCTTGCAAGTTACTGTTGCATCCCCACAGATTCTTAAAGGGTGACCCACAAAGAGACGAATTTTTTGTACCTTGAGTTTCTGAGTCTGAGCAGCCACGCCCACAGGATTCATCATGGCGATGAAGATCGGTATGTCGCCCAATGGGCTGCCGATGCCGCCTGCTATACTGATACCCAGAGACTCATTGGGTTCTTTTGTAAACTCGACTGTGCGGGTGTCCTGATGCTCTGCAGCTGTGGTAAAGAAGAAAACACGCTTAACGTTGCGATGTCATGTCTGCAGTTTACATTTCCTTTTTTATGGCTGCTTTATAAACATTAAAACTTCAGATCTGGACTCCTACTTAGTTTGTCAGCGTCGCCAGGAAGGTTTCCAGAGTCTGGACACATCTGGGAGGCCACTTTGGAGCTTCCTGGTTCACCCATCTGAAAAAATACATCGAGTTTAAACACTAATGACTATTAAAAAGATATTTTATTCAACATATGATCAAAAGATTTAAATGAAAGTACCAGACTATTTTGAGACAGTCGTCTTTCAGAGTGGAAAGGACCTGCTTTGAACCTCCCGACCTCCATTTTTATGGGTCCGACGCAGCACTACAACACAAAAGAATTGATTTAAATCAGCTGTTCAACACTGTTTTGTTTCGTCGCTGACCACACCCTCTTCTCAAGTTGGAGTCACCTTAAGTAGAGCAGCCACCGCCTCCTGGGTTGTCGATCTGACGTCCTCTCCGTTTACCGACAGGATCTGGTCGCCTTGCATCAGTTTGCCGTCGGTGTCCGCCAAACCTCCTTTCACGATATCAGACACAAACACCCCTGTGTCGTTCCTGTCCAGACAGACCAGGTGTCATGTATTAGGATCTCAAAATGTTTTCCTCACAACAGTTGACCTTAATTCTGTCAAACTGCTGACGCCTGAAACTGAGGATGTAGTTGAGAACCTTTTTTCCAGTGGACCTCTGCAGCAATGTGGCTTATGTTTCTTGGAAAGTGGCAGCTGAACAGCCGCTAAGATGGAATATTAAATCGCAAAAGAGTGTGTTTACCCCCCCAGCTGTGGCCTCCATGAATGTATTTTCCATCTTTAAGTTTTCAAATCCATAAAGTGAACATCTTTTTCTGTCCTCATTTATGATCTAGATTGACGGGCGTGTAAACCTACCACAGTCACTTCCACCTGCTTTTCCTTTCTCAGGTTGTCTGGAAAGCTTATCAGAGCGGAAAGATCTGTGCTCTTCCTCAAGCACAGACCTCTGGGAAATTAAGAGAACTGCAGGGACAGTGACGAGTCCTCAGCCTGTGTCTTTTCATCCAAAAGTGCATCCTCTCTGTGGACTCTCCCTATCCCGAGTGCCAATCTCCACGTAGATAAAACGAACACAAGCAGAAGCTGTGAAGCAGAGCAACTCAATCCCACTCCGTCCTCCGGTGCCAGAGACACTTGGCTGTCACCACTCCACCACTAACTGCTAGCTTGCACTTTCCATTTTAGCTCGAGCTTTTAGATTGTCTCTTACGATGCTGCCTTTTCCATCCTACCGAGCAGTTTTCCTTGTGTTTTTTTTCCTTGTGTGTAGAAAAACCGCTCTGACAGCAGAAAAGATTTACAGCGACATGAAAGGCTGACTCCTCTCCCTAACAGTTATAGGCACACAGACTGAGCTGTGAATGTGCATGTAGATCTGTAGAAGACATTCCTGAGTGTTATCCCAGGGGGGGAATCAATCACAGGGATCTGCACACCTGACAGCAGCAGCATGTGATCCAGCAGGTCTCTTCCCCACGTGCGCTTTAAGCCATGAAAGTAACTGAGAAAAAACAGCTGATTGAACGTTGATAAAAAGTTTCTACTCTAGTGAGGGAGGTGCGCTCTTATTGTCTAACTTCTGTAAATTAACATGTTAGCAGTCTAGACATCTGATGTCTTACAGGTATGAGGTCAAAAATGAGGATTCAATGAGATGATTTTGTTGAAAAAATTACATTTTAACCAAACCTATTCAATCTACAGGTTTCAGAAGCAAACAGTCTAAAAAACTATTTTTTTACCCTGTAAACTTTAATGTATTTCAAGATTTTTATCTTCATTTATTTAGCTCTCTACACACTACCTGCTATTGAACTATTCAGGCCTTTTAATAGAGATTACCTCTGCTGCCGTGACCTGCACAAAAAAGAAAATCAATGAGTTCACAATAACTTTTAGATTAAAGAAAGATAAAGAAGTTGCTCATGATGTTGCCAAAAACTAATCTCACTTGTATGGAAGTAAATCCGTGCCATCTGAGTTTGAATTTGAATTTCTATAGCTGAATTTTTTTGCACCAAAATCGGAAACTATTGAATTTCAAGCATGTATTTTTTTATTTCTGACACAAATTTTTTACAATGATGAAGTGTAAAAAAATCAGTCTTTCAAAAGATTTTTTTAGTAAAAATTCGACAAAAAATTCAGTCAAAAAATTCAACATAAAAAAAAAATAAATGTCAAAAATTCAACATAAAAAAAAAAAATAATGTAAAAAAATTCAGTGTCAAAGAGACTGACTCAAAATCGAGGTAATCGGGGAAACAATCTACTCTTCAATCTTCCAGTGGGGTCGGTGCCACATGACCAATCTAGCATTTTTGATTGGCTGGACGATGGATGATTGAGCCAGGAATCAATTTTTTCTCCCTGATCACTAGGATGTTGAGTTGGTTTGTTTGACATAAAAAATTTTTATGTTGAATTTTTTTTTTTTTTAAGTAGAGTTTTTACTAAACAAAACTTTTGAGAGACAATTTTTTTTTACACTGAATTTATTTCATCATTGTGGAAAAATTGTCAGGTAAAAATGCGTGCTTGAAATTTGATGGTTTTGAAATTCAAAGTCTGATTTTGATGCAAAAACAAATCAGTTTTAGAAATTCAAATTCAAAATCAGATGGCACAGATTTACTTCCATACACTTGCTAATCTAAATTACTCTGAGCTTAAGTGCCAAGCCTACTCCAAGCTTCATCGATTCAATCTTTCTGTGCAAATAGAGCCTTAAGCAGAAGCTCTAGTACCAGTTCTCTCTCTCACCTCCTCCCTACGATGCTCAGGCCCAAGCCCTGGCCCGGCTTCTTGTCAAGCTCCACGGTGAAGGAGTCCCACAGGTCTTCCTCCTTGTACTGGGCCTCATCCCTGTAGACCGTCAGGCGGACTCTCTGCGGGGTCTGACGCAGCACGTTGATGGCTTCGTCGTGAGTGGCGGCACGCAGGTCGATGCCATTCACCTGTGATTATGGAGAGTTTGGCCAGATTACAAATTTTAAACTGTGGTAGATTGTTAGTTGCACTTGCTTGACTTTATCTTTTAAATGAATAAATAAATAGTGTTCAGAGCACCACCAGTTGGAATGTGGGAATGTTGGAGCGCTTGCTGTCTGCTTCTTCTCTCTTGTTTTTCTAGCACACACTAAAGCCTGCTGATATATGAACAGTCATAACTACTCTGAGTACAAATGTACGACAAACAGAAACCAGAACACTTCCCATACTAGAGCCCAGACCCCTGCCTGCACTTCTGCTCTCTATATAAAGACGCTGTGTTGATAATAATGGAAATTTGCTTGGACATTTTGGAAAATAGCTCAGCTCTCTTTTGTTATCCTTGAGTCCAATAATTTATCGCTAAAACAGACTTTTTCATGAGGTACAAATTACTCCTGAAGGAACCTGGAAGGCTGAGATGCGAGGCCACTGGATGATAATAGAAAAATCAGGGGATGATGTCACAACACCCTCAAAATAACTTCCCACAAAGTCCATCTTTTTTTTTTTTGTTTAAACCGCATTAAAGAGGGGAAATACCACATTAGCTTTCTCCATGGCCTCACAGAGGATTTTTTCCCAGCCAGTAGCGACGCTGCGGACCGGGAAACCACTCTTTTCACTTATCCTCTCTGACCCGCTTTTTTTCTAAACACATCGGCTTGGCTCAGGGACAGCGAGGCATCGTAGAGGGCAATTAAGTCATCAGGGTGTGTGTGTGTGTGTCGCTGTGTGTGCATGCATGTGCGCCTTTGAATGCAGATTTACGGATCGAGCTGCCACACCCCTGCCCTCCCTCTGTGACAAAGCAGGAGGTCAAACGTCGGGCAAATCCAAGTTGAGCCGAGATACTTAACTTGTCTCTTTCGTGTAATACAAACCGGATTCACGCCGGTGTTTACTTTGCTCTTTCTTTTTCACTCACAATCACTTCATTGTCTCACTAACAGCTCAGAGTTGTTTGGATTTTAAGTGCTCAGTTAGATTAGCTTAGCTTTTATGTTCAAACTCCTCAGGCGGCCACGTCTCACTCTGCCTCTTTCTGTTTTTTTTTTTATTTAGGTCATATGTGATGCTCATTGTACCGCATCGCACTGTACACCGCACCTCCAGGATTTGGTCTCCTGCCCAGAGTCTGCCATCTTTGGAGGCTGCCCCTTCTTCGTAAACTTCATGGATAATGATGGCCCCCTGGAGTGGGAGAGAACAAAAAGAGGAGGAGGAGGTGAACAAGAGCTGTGAAGAGTCGACACGAGAGCTGAAAGTGTTTATGTTGAGAGGAGAAGGACGGTACATGGTGGAGAAAAAGTACGGCTAATTGAAAAAACACCGTGTTGACAGTTCACATGCATTATTTTAAAAGTGTGTATCTTTTTGGGCTCCCACTGTGTTTTCTCTGCACTCCAGTGTGAGTGTCATTTGAGGTTCAGAGGTTACATTCCTGGGCTGGATATTGTCTGCTGCGGCCGAGGCAGAGGAGCAGACAAAGAGCAGCTCCCTATCAGGCCTGACTGAGCAGACAGAATGGATGGAGGAGGAGGAGGAGGAGGAGGTGGTGGAAGAAGGCTGTGACAACATCATTTCCTACATTCCTGAGCTGCCACGGCTATTTCAAACCTCTGCTGTACCACCACAGGAGACTCTAGGTGGGTGGCAGAGTTGGTGTTAACCTGCAGGTGCAGCCGCCTCGTGTTTTGACGAATTCACAGAGCAACCTCAAAAGTTGGGAGTGAGTCAAGAAACCACTGAAAAAGTTAGATAATGCCAAAAGAGAACCAGAACATCTCCAGACTCATTAATTTTTAACAGGTTAGTGAACTTGAGGATTTTGTCATTGAAGATTCTAAAAATATATATAAAATGGATACGGCTGAAAACCAGCACTACTGCAATAAAATCCCTGCATGTGTGGGACCACTCAGGTTGTTATCAGTGCACGGTTGAAAAGCCAGCACCCTTGGTGGTACGGGGTTACATAAGAGCCCATGGATGGTTAATTTGCACATCTGGAAAAGCTCCATTCATGCTCAACAATACAGACAGGTTTTGGAGCCACATATGCAGCCGTCCAGTCAACACTTCCAGGGCTCGACAGTGCAACCGTTTCACTCGCATTTGCCAGTCAAAGTAGATGTGTGTGAATTGTGAAACGTATTAAGGGGCACATGTGCACATAAAAAAATCAGCCGAGGCAACAAATGTTCTTTCATGTAATTACTGCTGTGAAGTTAGTTTTAGTTTTGGATATTCGAGGACATCTACCGGTGTCTTCTCACTCTCCATAACTAGGAATGGCAATGGCAGTTAAATCTACTCAGCACCCTCGCTTCAATGTCGGGTGTTAAATAAGGGACCATCAACAAATTACCGACTGATGTTCTCAAAGAAGGCTGTTTTCCTTCAATAGCTTCCATGTCATGTTACCAATTGACCTAAAATTAATTTCAAATAGTAGTACTTATGTCGACCAATAAGACAAAGATTATTTGATCAATTTTCATTGTTCCCCTAAAGTTCTTTGTGTGCTCCATACTTCTTCATCTTAGGAGTAAATGTGCTCCTTGTGAAAAAAGTTAGTGTCAAGCCCTGACTTCTGATTTTAAATTTGGTGAATACATAATTTAAGATTTTAAATCGGTCTTATTTTCAATTTCCTACCAGCAGGGTGTCACAGCCTCCCACGATGCTCAGGCCCAGACCTGTGCGGCCCTTACAGATGTCGATGGTGGTCTCACACCCGGGGATGATGGGACAGGTCGCCGGGTCACAGGTCAGCGTGGAAGGAGTTGATGAGCGACTCAGACCTAAAACAGAGAGAGCATCGTATTAAACAAACATGAAACACCTAAATAAGAGGAAGGGCTTGAAAGTCAGGTCGTAGTAAATGGACTCACTCGTGGCTGTCTCTGCCTCCGGCTGACTTAGAGCACTGGTGGTGGCACTGGGCATGCTCGGTAGGCTGGCGGCGACACTATCCTGAGAGGTTGGCTGGGGAGAGGAGAAGAAGGAGTAGGAGGAGGAGGTCTCATTTGTAGAGAAGGTTAGCCTCACTGGACCTTTGGATTTTCTCAGAAGAGAATTGACCTAAAACATAGAATCACAAATCACACTGCACTTCCTCCTCCTCTCAGATTAAATTGTAATGCCTTTCATCGAGCGATGATGATCTTGCCGGCATTTCAACTAATCTTCTCCCGGCATACCTTGTCAACACTGTAGCCGAGCACTGATTCACCGTTCACAGATAGGAGTTTGTCCCCTGGTTTCATGCAGTCCTCCTGCATGAAGCAGATCACACTCAGGATTAAATATCTACAGAGTTACAGATGAGAACTTCTGCACACTGCCCCTGGAGTCCTATCAGGTCATGAGAATCATCTTTCGTCCATATAATTACATCTTATTATACAAATAACCACCTTTGCAGGACTTCCCAGGCTCTGTAGAAGTCAGCTGTATACAGTCAACAAACAATAAGATTCAGTTTGTAGTTCATACTTTGCTTGTGGGTCCTTCCATTTCACATATACTCTGAATCTCCACTCCAGTGTCAGTGTTTCCTTCCACAAAGGAGATGCCGTGTCCACCGTCATCCTGTTAGGAGAAACAACATCCATGAAGAAACCGGACTTTAAACAGTCGGGGCAGAGGCACGCAGTCTGACTGACTGGCTTTGTTTATGTAGCTGTGACAGGTGCTAAATAATAGAGCTGCACCAAAAACTCCAAACAACAATTACCTGTAAAACCTACTGGCCCCGAATTCACCTTTGGGCTGTTTGTTCTCTGAGAAGACTTTCTGAGCTTCTCTGTGCTCGTCAGTCAGCATGATATTTTCCAGTAATTGACATCCTTAAACTTAAGCAAATACGACTGAAAAGGACTGAAAGTGGACACCATGGGAGGTTTAAGTCTCGTCCTCTTTGTTAGACTGTGTCACGTTTTTTTTTTTTTTGTCCTGTTAACCTTTTTTTTGACTCTCTCCTCTCCTTCCTGTCTGTCTGTCAGACTCCACCGCTCCTCTGTGCTCCCTCTCTCTCTTCCTCTGTCATACCCCATTGACTTTTTCTGTATACACTCCCTCATTACCACACTGCTTCCCACTTTCTCTCTATTATCATCTTTATTTTGGTCTTTCAAAGGATCCTTTTGTGTATTTTTGGGGAGGTCCAGTGTTTCTCACCTTCAGCTTTATGATGTGGTTCACGTGCTTTGACGTGTCAGCGTCGCCATTAGCTGCTGCTGCTGTTTCAGGCTGTAAATAAACAGAAGTTTGTTCAGTAAGGAGTAAATAGTCTTGTTGATGGTGAGAGTACAGCGCTGAGGACCACACAAAGAGACTTCTTGGTTCAAATGGACACTCCTCAGGGTAAAAGCAGCTGATAATAGTCATTGTGATGAAGTTCGACCTGCTTTCTCCCATCATTCTTTGTCCTGGTGCATATTTGTGTACGTGTGTGGCCGCAGACAGTCGTACCTCCACGTGGGGCTCCACCGTGTCTCCCTCCTGCTCCCTCATCGGTCCCACAGCCATCTGGTTCAGCGCCTCCGTGTTCCTGTTCCAGAAGTCATAACTCATGTAAATGGCTGCTCCTCTGCCTCGTGACAGCCCGGCTATGATTTACATGTGTTGATCACAGTGCGCTCCGGAGGTCAGGGAAGGGATGCGAGTTAAGCAGAGGGTTAAGTAGTGTGATCCTGACAAGGACTGTTTGGAGGAGGGTCAAAGGTCGTGAGTGTCCGACTCTGTGTTGATATGTCAGCTGCTTTGTCTGAAATCCACTCGGTGTACATGCTGTGTATAGTTTGAAACACTGACTCGATACAACGATGAAAGCGCCCTCATTCGTCAAAGGAGCTGTCAATCATGATATTATTACCTACTTTTAAAGCGTCAGACAATGAATCAAAACTAAACTGTTTGACAAATAAACACTTGGATGTCAATTTTCATGGTATGAACTTACTTTAATAACAGAAATGGTGTTTTGGTAAACTTCTGTGACCTTTTTCTTCTTCTCTGAAGTTTGACTCATGCTCCACTTGTTGCCATGGAGGAGGCGGACCTACAGCCCGGTGTTTCTATCCATCTTTTAATAAGTCCTAGGTTTCAGTAGTTGCTCTAATCTAACAAACTGATATGAATTATATTGACTCAAAAGACCTGATAGATACTGTTTGTAGGGCTGTTTCATTTATGTGTAGTTCCTGAAGCTTTTAACCCTCATCCACAACGACTCACCACAGATATAAGGAGCTTTTAGGCTGCCTTTAGACACAGCAGCATAGGTAGAAATGTAAAAACCACAGAGCACACACATATTAGTCTAAAAAAAGATACTTGATTTACTTAATCATCCACTTTTAAATAACAAAATCTACTAAGAATTGAATTACAATGCTAATTTGGGTGTATAATAGCGATGAAGTCCTGGTTTTATTCAAATATAGAGCCTTGCTTCACACTTGAGAAGTCTCTTAAAAGGAAATCCATTATCTGTAATGGGTTGATGATTTTAAGTGAAGAATTTCCTCTTTTCTGAATTACCCAGAGAGAAAAATGACCCTTTTGCGCTTCCTCCTCTTCTGTTGAAATACAACACCTCCCTCTATTGGTTTTCTAATATCATTACAACAGGCTGCAGCTCTCTCAGTTCAGTTTTCATTCTCAGCACAGTCAGACAAAGAAATGTAGGTCCTGTTGCTATGGAAATGTGCACACAAAAAGCTCTGATTGGAGGATGAGAGTGTTCTCCTACCTGACAAAGATGATTTTGACTTTAGACGGAGAGCTCTTGATGATTGAGGAGGCGTTCTGGTGACTGTGGCCGTAGAGGACCTGTCCATTGATCTAACAATAGAGAAAAATAAATGATCATTATTATTCAATGTGACAATAAAATCCTCACTATGATGAAATGCCATATGTACCCACCTCCAGGAGCTCATCCCCCACCACCATTCGACCGTCCCTGCCGGCCGCCCCACTGGGGTCTATTCCCACCACAAACACGCTCATGCGTGAGCGGTCTCTGTTCCCCGCCAGGCTGAGCCCCAGGCCCGTCTTTCCTTTCTCCAGCTCGATCATGTGTAGGACACCTGGGAGGCTGCCGTAGCGCTGGATTATGTTCTCTGAGGATGTGGCAGACAGATGTAAGCCTTTATGAGATATTTGTGTAATGTTATGTCGCAGGTGTGATTTAGAGGATTCACGAGCAGGGATGGTAAAAAGCTGTAACTTTTGCTGAACTTTCTCACTGTCTGTCTCTTTGTCTGAGTCTGAAGTCGCCCCCTCTTTTCTCCCTCCACTCCACTCTCTCCTTCTCTTGTGTCTCTGGTGGGTTTAAGATAGCCGCTGTTCACACCAATGAGCTCCTGTTGTTCTGGGCTCCTTGCCACTGTTGAACCATCAGTCCTGTACTAATCTCCACTCCTCACCTCCCCTGGTCCAACCTCATCAATCTTATCCCCGCGGGACGGACACACTCTCCAACACACTTACACTCACACACACACACACTCACACATATATAGACATTCACCACAGTCCCAGGTGTTTGGAGGCTGGATGTCTGTCCTTTATGCTGGCTGCCTGAGCTGAATGAAACTAACCGTTCTCCTTGAAGCGGTACGTTTGTCCTGGAGTTGACTTTACCCCGTTTCAGGTTGCTAAAGGCTTAATTGGGACACCAGGTCCACATGAGTACAGTGTGGATCCTTTACAAAAGAGTAGGGGTAGATTTATGGACAGGTTATGAGACCAGGATAGAACTTGGGGGACCTCTAGTGGCTGTTAAGCAGCAAAGCAGGCGACACTTAAAACCCAAATACTTCATTTTGCTCTTGATTTAATTTGTACTAACAAATAACCCAGAGTGAAGAATTGTTCGGAAAAAAGTCTATCAACCTTAAAAAGCAAAAGTGAACTCACTCCAGCTGTATCCAAATTCATCCTCCTCCTCTTCCTCCTCCTCCTCCTCCTCCTCCACCTCCTTGTCCTCCTCTGCCTCGGCAGGCCTGCCAGGAATCTCCGTCAGCGTGTCCGTATCGGTCTCTCCCACATGGGGCACCACTGGCAGGAGGAGGATGGCGCTGGTGGGAGCCGCCTTTGCCGCATCACGCTTCACCAGCTGTCACGTCACAGATAGAGAAAATAGATGATTAGTCAGAGTCGAGGCGAAGAAAGCGCCGGTTTTTCTCTGAATTTAGACGAATCAGCTTGATGTAAAGTTATGATAGAGAAAGGAAATGCACAAATGAGCTGTTGATGTGATTTACACGTCTACACGAACAGCTCCATCAGTTTGAGTGCATACTGTCGGGCTCAGAGAGGCGAGAATCAGGATGAGCCTAATCAGCCCTACTTAAGCTACTGCCTTAAGTTATATTAGGATAATTATTGGATTTAATCACTCAATTATTACTGATGTAATTACTCAAATTGAATTAGTACTTAAATTAAAACTCACTTGTAGACATTAATAGCTACACTTACCAGGAAAACCCAAGAGCAAGAGATCATGTAGCTCTTAACAGATAAAACCAGCCTCACAAGACAAATCTCAGAAAAACCTTTAGAAAATTGGCTTTGGTTGACCTTCAAAGTGATTCTGTTGCTTAGTGAGAGGAAAAGAAGAGAAAAGGTTCTGATTTTTCAAAAATCAGACAGAGAGGGGAGTTGTTAGGACACATACAAGTGTATGCAGGTACGGCATGTTAGGGTATACTCAATACATGAACTGTGTTTAGGGCTGCTGGTGTTTAAGGAGTCCTGTCAAGTTCCTGCTGCTGTGTCCCATTCATTCACTACAGAAATGCTCCAACTATGTCTTTTATAAAGACTCCTAATTTGTTGGAAATAATACCTGCTCATCCTCCAATGCTGCACTTTTGTTCTCTCTAAAAGGAGCTACAGGAGCCAGGATAGAGGCCGAATCTGTTTGCTGTGGTTACAGGAATTCAAGGGACTGAAGAGGAATTTGTACCTAGGGCTGGGCGATACGGCCTCAAATCAATATCACGATATATTGAGCAGTTCACCTCGATAACGATAAATGGACGATAACAAGCTGCTCACCCCCTTCCACATTAACTTTCTCTACTTCAGCCGCTACAACTTTTGAACCGTCCTCCATCTCCTCACCTGTCTTTCCCTCTTTGTTACGGGTTGAATGGGGTGGAATCACGTATCTGATGTAGGACAGCATCTTAAAGGGACATGAGACCATAGCTGACCTACACACATCCAAAACCAACTTTCATTTATTTATTTATTTATTTTTGACACCGAATATACCGATATGGGCAAAATGATGTTAACTATTTATATAAATTTCTGTATCAGTAAATTTTCAGTTTATCGCCCAGCCCTAATTGTGTCTATTAAATGTATTGGAATAAGGGGCAGTAAAGTCTAAACGCTATTGTGAAAAGGCATCTTGGGATACTTTGATGTTTTGGTATTTTCCCCACAGCCCTAACTGTATTGTGGCGTATAAAACATAGCTATACATGCATACACGGAAAAGGGGAAAGTGGAAACACAACACCGAGACCCACAAACCTTAAACGGGGTAGGAGTGAAAGGGTTAGTTGGGGAGAGGCGGAGGACAAGTCTACTGTGACTGTCAGCCTCCTACAGAGAAGAGACAAAGGGCGACAACTTTAGAAGACAACACATTTCCGACACACGCCTTTTTTGCCGGTGAGAACATCTCTTGAAATTAAGAAGAAAACTCAAACTTTTTTTTACCGAATCTCATTTTCAACAGTCTTTTAACTCTGTCCCCTTTTTTGCCGTGTTTATTTTTTTTAAAGGGGGAATGCAAAATACTCATAAAGGTTGTCATTGGACGCTAATTAAAAACACAAACCTTGTCCTTGTTGTCCCTTGTCACGGCTGCAGCTCTCTCCTCACTGGAGTCTGTGTTTGACTGCTTCATACAGGATGGATATGAATGTGAATCAGTCAGGAATGAAGAGCAAATTCATAATACTGAGATATAGAGGTAGATATTGCGCCGTAAAGCAGACATGGAAATCCCATATATTCACAAAAAGTTTGAACTGAGTTTTAAGCGCTCGGAAAGAGGAAAACAAGCCTCGTGTGCCATATGCTGCAATTGTGAAAAACCATCTGTCTGTAAATGTTACTACCAAAGGAAAACAAAAACGGGTGTTTTCTACAGACAAACACACAACACCAGAATATTCATGTGTTGAGTGCTAACGCCCGTCCAGCATTACATGTCAGTCCAAGCTTTAGCATTTATCCCAGTCGTGACGCTTTGCCGGCAAGTTTGGCATTCAGAGAGAAGATATTTCAGAATATAGTCCCGCACATAATTGTTTTTGTGTTGAGTGCCGATTGTCGAATCAAATTGTTTTCTTTACATTGGCAGTGAGTCTCTTGGGACAGCGTTTGAGGGATAATTGAGTGAAATTGGTCTGTCAGAGCTGGGCACATGGAGGAAGATAAAATGCACTCAAAGTAAAAAGCCTGTAGATAAACAAAGAGGATAAATAAATAAAGACGCAAATGCTCGAAGGAGGAAAGTATAAATGACGAAAAAAAGCAAATATAAAAAGTTAAGGAGGATAATTTTCATGTCGGTAGAAATCTAAAAGACAGACTGAAACCACCAAAACAAACTCAGGCCAGGCTTCTTTTGTCTTAGTCTCTCTTATTAAACACAAAAGAGTCAAAGAGGAAGTGAAATAAACACAAGCAGACAGACACAGGGGCAGCTTTCTAACCTGAGGGAGGGCAGGAGCTAAGTAGGTTTGATTAGTGCAGCGAAGGCTCGACCCGCAGTGGCTATTAAGCTTCAGAAAGGGCAGGGGCGTCTTCTAAAAGCAACACACAAGAGGGACCAACAAGCCGACAACAACATGACAAATATTTAATAAGATGGCTCAGACTTTCGGACAGAACTGAATCAGAGGCTTTCTGGGAGGAAAAAAAAAGGAAAATGAAAGGGTGAGCATGTGGAGGCCGGCAGCACCTCAGGTTTTTTATTGAAATGAGAGACCATTAAAGCGAGCGGCTTCCTTGAGGATAGCCGTTTTCCTGCACATCAGAAAAAAAAAAAAATCAGAGCCGAGGCTCTTTCTCTGAAACGCTTTAACAAAATGTTTTAGAGATTCCTCCGGGCTAACGGGAGATTATTCACTGCTTACAAGAAAGGGATTGGAAACTTGAAGGAAATGGCGAGGACATGCTATTATACTCTCTAGGTGGCCCCCAGTGGCGGCTCTTGAAAACTACGTTACTGACCTGCCTCGAGCATTTTGACACAACATCCAATCAAAATAACACTCTCAGACGACTCGCTCTATTGTTATTAATTTTAGCAGAGCTTTATAGCAATGAGAGACTTTGAAAAGACGTCTTCTCCTTAGATTATAAACAGGGAATAATTTAACCACCCTGCAGCCACAAGGTTCAAACCATCTCCTGTTTTTCTTTTTATTGTTTCCCCGAGGAATCCCTTTAATGGTGGCATGATTTCCTTACCTCTCATGATTAAACTGTATGAAGAATCCAGCATGGATGACACACCTTCAGCATTATAAAGGTTTTCTGAAACACTTGCAGATGCAGGTGACAAATTGGATTTCACCCATAGCTGTCCCCTTTGATTAAAAGCATCATAGAGGGTCCTGCAATTGTTGTGGTTGTATTATTCTGTTATGGAAAACAGACGAGGAAGCCAGGACAGTAAAATAAACCTCCGGTCCTTTTTTTTTCTCTCCCAGAAGGCATCTCCAATTCCCATCTGTCTTTATATCCATTCACATTATGTGTGTATCAAAGTCAAGGAAGCAGTTAAGAAGAAGGGCCCGGGCTAACAGTATGAAAGACAAAAGAGAAAGAGGAGGCGGGAAAGATAACTTAAAGATTAGTGGTGATGGATAGCTGATGCAATAGAAACCAGGGAGACAAAAGAGGGGGGGAGACAGATTACCTGACATGTGGCGTGTGGCATGCATGTGAAAGCGGTGATGTGTTTCTTTACGGCTGGTGATGGAGCTGGGCTATATATCGACTCAGGCTGGAGGAGTGGTGCAGAGGAACAGAGGGAAAGATTTGAGGCAACTCATAATGTCAGAACTGAGGCCAAACAAACCTTCAGGTGCAGGAGTTAGCAAATGCTCAAACAGCGGTATGATTGAACCTTTGGCTGCATTCAAAGGTTAAAGGGATATTCCGGCGTAAAATTAATTTCGGGTCAAACACACCTTAACACTGAGTTGACACCCCATTGAGAGATTAATATAGTCAACGGCTTGCTTCTCTAGTTATACCAACTTTAGTATCCACCGCACGATAGCAATACACGGCAGTCTGAGGAGCCATAAACAAACCTCAACCAAAACGCCACTCTATAGCCACAAATAATGCTCAGAACAGCACCTAACTTCATCAACAGTACATATAGGGTCCTAGCCATAGCACTAGCCACCAAACATCTTTTTAACTTTGCCTAATTTTGGGACAAAACACAACTCACCTAGTTTTTTCAGCAGCCGCTTGTTTGTAGCGAGACCGCAGGCAAGTCAATTACGGACTGCTGCGGGGTGCCGCAGCTCAAGGGAGAATATTTATGATCATTTCTTCATGGAAATGCAATCAGACCGAGATGCTAAGGCAAAAGAACTACTGCAGTGCAAAATGATTAATGCTGTTCATTACTTCAAGGAAATGATAAAGTAATGAACATAAATGTTCTTCCTTGCAGCAGTCCATAATTGACTGGCCTGAGGTCTGGCTACAAACAAGCTAGAAGAGAGTAGGTGAGTTGTGTTTAGTCTCTTTGCTAAAGAAATTAGGCAAAGCTAAACAGATGTTTGGTGGCTAGTGCTACGGCGAAGACCCTATATATACTGTTGATGAAGTTAGGTGCTGTTCTGAGCATTATTTGTGGCTATAGAGTGGCGTTTTGGTTGTGGTTTGTGTATGGCTCCTCAGACTGCTGTGTATTCCTATTGTGCGGTCTTTACTAAAGTTGGTTTAACTAGAGAAGCAAGCGGTCAGCAACATTCATCTCTCGATGGGGTGTCTAACTCGGTGTTACAGTGTGTTTGACCCTAAATTAATTTTACGCTGGAATATATTATTGTTTATTGCACTTGAAGCTTTTTTCTCTGGTCTACACAAACACTCCAAGACAGTTAAGTGCCAAGTTGAGCTAATAGCTGCTAAATACTCCTCTATTCTTCATAGCTTAATTCCTAGTTTTGCTCTTCTTCTGTTAGCTGTCAGGAAAATAGCATATGGTGGATTTACAGACTTAATTGCTCACTTGGTTTTACTGAAAACAATATTATTACACCACTTAGTGTGTGTATGAATATTGAGTCACCACAGTTGAGCATAATTCCTTTTTTTAAGCAATAATGAATTCTTTTCCCCCCCTCTTCGTGTCCCTCCTCTGCCTGTGCTTCATTACATTATGAGTTGCGACAAGGCATAAAGATGAGTAACCAGAGCGTTTAAGGAAAAGCACGTGGGAATACTTCACCATGCACGAAAGAGTGATTGACGATGTGAGATCTTGCGCTGGAACCAAGCCAGATGCAGCCCTAGCAGGAAACTATTTAGTCATGCTTTAAAAGCCTCGGGGCACTTTCAAACAACAAACGCCGCTCCGGACGCAGTGATTTTCAATGAGCGAGGTTTAAAGTTGCTAATGTATTTAATATGCGGGGTTTGTTGTTGCTCCGACAAAAGGTTTTCAAATGACTTCTTTGAAAATTCAAAAGCGAATCAGTCACTGCGGGGGCTTTTCATTGTACATTTTGAAAGTGCCCTAAAAGGCCAGCGTGGATCTTTAATATGTATGAAAAAGGCTTCAGATTGAGAATTATGTGACCTTAAGGTGATGAGGTAGTTGCGAGTAAACGCTGGTGAAACACAGACTTACCCTGGGCCTGTGGATAATACTCTGTACCAAGAAGGAGACAGGGTTGCCTGCCCTTCGGATGGCTTCCACTGCCTCCTCGTGACTGGCATCTCTGAGGTCAACCCCATCCACCTAACAAAGAGAGGGCAGGAAAACAGTCCGTCAAGCATCCAAAATTTTACACTGAAAAGATCTTTTTGTTCTCCTCAGGGTTTTTTGGTTCTCTGAAACTACTAGACTTCAATGAAAGAACTCTGGATTAAGTTTCAAGTGTCATGATTGAGTAAAATCTTCTATAAAAATAAAAAAAAACTGCTGTTTCTTCACCTCTACAATCCTGTCTCCAGTTTTCAGGGTCCCGTTCTGTCCAGCTGGACTGTCCTCCAGGATGTGCTTAATAAAAATGCCCCTCATCACCTCTCCGTTGCTTAGACGGCTGCCCATCCCGCGACCACCAACAATACTAATCCCCAGGGATTTTCCTGGTTCTCGGAAGAGCTCCACTCTGAAGAAAAATATAAAATCAGGCTCAATGAAATGGGGTTTCAAATGTCTTTTTCATGCCTGTGCTTCATGTAGACTCTCAAATCATACCTCTGAGGCGTTTTCACAGATCAGTACAAGCATAAATACCGTGAGCACTCACTTTCTCGGTTGGTTCCAGTTACCGTAAGTCGTGCTCTCCTCTCCTTCTCCGTCTTCCCGTTCAGGGAGATTTGGAATATCTCTGTAAAAATGATAACAAAAGGAAAGACTCTGACAAAAAAACTTTATTTCTAGGTATTGTAAAGTGTCCTTATGTAAAAAAACACTCATTTTTGTATGTTATGAGCAAGTTTCTGTGAACTTTTTTCAGTGCTGTACCCCTGTGTGCCAGCTGGTGGCAGTAAAACTTTTAAGAAGGTGGAAACAGGCCAAAAAAAGCATGTTAGAAGAAAACTGAAGCCAGCAAACATGCTTTCAAACATTTCACACTGAGTTAACTCCAGCGAACATACTAGTCGACACCTATAACTGGATTTACACATTTGATTTTTCATACTTTGCAGCTGGAGCTGACACTGGAGCCGGATTTGGGTCTGGAGCGGTTTCAGAGAAGACATCATCTGTAGGCTGCTGGAGACTGGCCTTGTACTCCTCCAGGTACTCTGCTGGCACATATGTGATACTGGACACGCACACACACCCACATACGCACACACCAGTACAGACACACATGCAAACAAAGGAGTCAAACACTTCTTTCTAAAAGCACAATTTGGCATCCTAGCCATTAGCAACCTTAAGGGCAATTAAGCCTCTGTTCACTACCTGATAATTTAGCAGAAATAGAGACCCGCATTTAAGTGCAAATGGGTTTAAAAGCTGTAAAACTATCCCTTTTCACTAAGTAAGAGTCTTTTTTATAGAGCTACAAGACTTCACTGTTCTGTGCTGTATGTAAAAAACATGTTATCAGCCCAATTAGGGTAATTAATCTGACATCTGACTGTTTGTTTACCTTCATAAATATCTCAACAAATCACCTCCAGAGTGACAAATTTGATGGGTGTGTGATCTTTTTTTCCTTACGGGCAGGTTACTAATTCACTTAAAGAAATGACACCCACTTAAAGTCCAATTTCTAAAGAGTTCACAGACACGTTGTCTTTGTCAGGCACAATAACACATTTGAGCGAAAAACAGACAGCTTGATTTGCTTTCGTAAACACGGTGGCATGCAGACGGGGAGGAAAAAATGAACTGAAGGAGAGTAATGAAACAGATAGGTGAGTGCGTCAGGCACATCATGACATGCTGTGAGAGCCGTGGTGCAGCTTTAAAAAGCAATGATTAAAATGAAAACACTGAGTTATAAAAGAGAGTTATTAATGGTGCAAAAGGCAACAGAGAGCATGCTGATGATAAGTGCAGATGTTAGTCACAGGGATAATAGGAAAACAGTTATTCGGCGGGCAAAGTTTAGTCAAGAAGTGGTGCAGTCAGTCAAGATTTATCCAGATATGATTGTGACTGTGTGTGTGTTAAGATGGGAACAAACGATGATACATTGAATTTCAAGTTAATCAATATAAACACAAAGTTAAAGCATGATTACAAATGTTAATTAATCATGTTAAAAGTCTTCTCCAATTTTATTTCAATGAATATTTGTCATCAACTTTGCAAAATAAACACACTTTATTTTGATATATATCTCTGTGTCTGGATAAAACTCTCCAACAGACTGTGATGAAGCCCAAAAGCAGATGGAGGGATCGAAAAGGAAGGGAAACCAAGACGGCAGCTTCTTTGCAAAAGGAAACGCCACCAGCGTGGAAGTTAGTCATACTCACACATAAAATGGGCACAGATCTTCCTCGGGTGCACAAGCAGATCTAGAACGTGAAGAGTTGGCTTTTTATGCACCGGAGCTAACACAACTGCCACGTTTAGTTCAGCAAGCAGAACTTGTGAAACACCAAAACCAGGACTAGGGAGGAATAATAACTCCCTGAATGCAACATAAAGCTACACCGGGTGAGTTGAACAATCCTGATTGATTGGGTTTTAGAAAGAAATACAAGGGACAGTAAAGTTGCAATTTGAACACATAAACTTATCTTAAGTTTGTTATGCATTTAACATCACTGTAAGGAGTTTTCACCTGGTTGAGAAACAGACTGAAATAAAACTGACTTCAAGAAGCAAATGAGACCGTCAGAATCAGAGCAAATAACTTCCAAATCCAAAACACATACAGCAGCCTGCCAAGAGTCGAAGAAATGAGTGTATCATTTAGTATAGAGTCAGTATGCTTTCTCAGTACCAACCAGAGCTCACTGTCGTCATAAAGAGAATTCAAAATTCGGCTTTGTAAATACAGATTAGCACAGATTACCCTTCAAGATTTGCCTTGATTTTAAAATCGTTACTCCAAGTCTTAATCAGCTGCTTCGTATGCTTGCAAACTTCATCACAAGGAGGAAGAGTGAATCAGAAAACACTGATGGACGTAGAATCATGTCAGAGTGGAGAGATTAGTGACAATTGGACTGATCTGATTCAGACTGATGGATGGCATGACATATCCCTAAAAGTGAAGCTAAAACATTTTCCTTTCTAACTAGCAGCAGAATAAGTCACAATATCAGTGTTCTTTATCCATTAACATGAATGTTACTGAATCTGGTTAAGACTGTAAAAAGATAGATGGCATGACATATTCCCAAAAGTGAAGCTTAAACATTCCCCTTTGTGACTGGCTGCAAATAAGTTGCAATATCAGTGTTCTTTATTCACTAACATGAATGTTGTTGAAGTTTACATCCTCCATCTCTATAAACAGTCCATGTGCAGAATTTATATCTTAGATTTTCTGACTACTGGTATTTTTTCTAGATTTCCTGCACATCTTGTAAATTGAAAACAATCAAGTTACATCCTCTCTAGTAATCCTACACAGAACTATCAAGATGTAAATTTAAAACTGCTTGTGAGCATCTAATGAACACGCATCACTGCCAAGTCATCTCTTACCCCAGGTCCGGCCCAATCAGAGAGTGTCGTCTCAGCATGGCTCTCGCCTGAGCGTTGGTCAGGTTGGCGGTGGGTTCCCCGTTGATGGCCAGGATGAGATCGCCGACACCAAGACGGCCATCGCGGCTGATGGAGCCACCGTGGATTATACTGCGGACCAGCATTCCCAGACTGTCCTTCATGGCGCTCACTGTCATCCCTTTAAGGTAGATTAAAGGAGACATTTTAACTCAATTCAAACCACAGAGTCTTTATTTTTACTTAATTTAATGAGGAGATACATGACAGGGCTGAAAATATTAGATACCCATATACCATGGGTTTATCCGTTTCTGGTGAGTCTCAGTTTTATTGTAAATAATAAGTCAAACAGAGTTCAATTTCTGCTTTATTTACTTGGAAAATGAACCTTTTTTAAATCACAACTTTAATTTGCGAGAATACCAACACCTAGATGCTTTCATTAAAATAAAATTGCAAGTTTCTAAATTCATAGCCCTGGGCGAAGAGTCTACCTTTTTTTCTGCAAATAGAGAATGAACTAAACTTAAGGGGAGTGTCTGTCCCACTGAAACGGAATAAGAAACCTCTCCTCTCCAGTAAAAAGCACTCTCAGATTTGATTTCCCATTTATGCTCAATGGAATAAGTTCAGAGCATGGCCTCAAATATTTATATTTAGACTTTAAAGGCTTGAGCGTGCAGGAGTTCATAGTAACGCCGAATACAAGCAGTATGTTCTACTTTGTAGTAAATTTTGGTGAAAGAATATTCAGTCGTACGTACAAAAGGAGGAAATCTAAAGCCTGAAAGACGAACAAAATAAGGTTCTCATTAAGGGATTTCGGGTTATAAACAGTGCCTTCACAACATCCATTTGTTTTCGAAAGGTAAAACTTAGTATTCTCAGAGTCAGTCGCAGTTCCCTGGGTGGGTTTTGAAATGCAAAATACCCCCGTACAGCTATGAAGTTACCCTTTCAGACTGGAAAACAGCCAAAAAATCTTTTCCACACTGTTCTGCCTCCCATCTGGCATTCATAACAAATATGACACAGAAGTAAAGGCCAGTACGCCTTTCAGTCCCACAGCCTCATTTACACTTCTTTGGGAGGGAAAGCAGAGGAGAAATAAATTAGAGACACAAATAAAGGAATATGAAGAGATTAACACAAACCAAGGCTGGAGTTGCCTTTGACAACAGTGATAGTCCTTTCAAAGTTGCTCCCTGAGGTCAGCGGCTCCTTGTCACAGTCTTCTGTTGACTCTTTCGCGCCGACGTACTCGTCCTTGAGGGCGATAATTCAACACAGTTATTCGGCAGACTGAATGAAAGATAGACGGCCAAATTCCTAACAAAACAGGGGTCTCGACTGAAAAGGTAGGAGTAGCGAATGGGAAATAATTTCTAAACAAATCGGCTTCAAACTTTTGTTTATATATTTGAAAGGAGGAACTTTTGAGAGGTCAAAAGTTAACTCAAAAATTCTGTTTGAAAGAAGATCAAGCTGGATACTTTTGTGGTTTTTCTGACTCACTTACAGAATAAATGTGAGTTTGCTGCACGCCAATTATCAATTCTCACTCATCTCTCAAACTTCTACTCCCATTCAGTCAATTTCAATGTTTTACTTTACCCTGATTGCTCGCTTATTTTTGTCTTTGTTGTCAGAAATCCTTCAATCTGGGCCACAGATCAAAATTAATCTTCATTAAACAAGCGTTGGTGATCATCGTTTGAGTCATTCGGGCCCAAATGCACAAATTCAATCTGATTAATAAAAAAGGAAGGTTAAAATTCACCCTTCCGTTTTAGTCTTGAAAGCCTCTCGAGCAGATTTGCATTCATAAAACAGACAGATGAGACGCAACAGTTTGTTTTACCTTCAATAAAATCTTTATATCTCCACATGACATGTACGGCTCCTTCTGGTATGAAAGAGGCTCAACAGGCTCATCCGAGACATCAGCAAATGTGCTGTATGAGTTTGAGCTCTCCGCCGGTTCTTCTTTGGTCGGATGTGGTGCCAGATACTGATCATTACTGCTCAGTATGTCGTTGAAATCCGGGATGTGACTTCTCAGACTCGGAGGAGTGAATGGGTCTGGCTTCTCCGCGGAGAACGCCTGAGTGTCGTCCGACAGGCCAGACGCTGCTGGAAAGCAGGGACGCTCCTCCAACAAGTCGAGGCGAGCTGTCAGCTGGGGTAAAACAAAGCACAGCAAGCCGAGTGAACGTTCCACTCTGTTAGATAGACAATTGCCCAACAGGGGGAATTCATCTCGCTCAGTCGCCGTCCTGCCCTCCTTGTAATGAGCCATAGAAAAGCCATCAGTGGCCAATAGAGAACAGCAGAAATTACTGGGGATCTTGAGCTTGCCATGTACAAATGGAGAGCTTTTTTTAACCACAACTCCATTTAGGAGTTTAGTCGAAGCAGAAAGTGGTGATGAATCTCAACAAGCACTTTCCCTCGAGAGCCTGACACAGAAAAACCTTAAAGGAAAAGGTTGAATCTGCAAATTTATATGCAGCCTTCCAAAGCTGAGTTAAAACAGAGCGGGGAGGTCTTCTTTCAGCGAGTTAGGGAAATAAATAAGGGATGAATTGGGCTTTGAAACGTAACTGAGTAAATATTCAAAATGGGTCAATGAAAAGAAACACCCAGAATACTTAAATGGAAACAAGAAAGGCATTAAAGTGTGTAAAAATCAAATTTAAGGGGAGTCACTTGTTTGCTTTAAACCAAAAACATTTCATTCCTATCTAATGGCTCGGCTTTGATAAATCAGCCCTCTTTAGTAGTGTTCACCACATTACTTGGAGTTAGGGCTGAGCGACAAACCGAAAATTTACTGATACTGAAATTTACGACAATAACCAAGGTCATTTTGCCCATATTGGTATATTTTGTGTCAATAAAAATAAATACATAAAAGTTGGTTTTGGATGTGTGTAGGTAGGCTATGGTCTCATGTCCCTATAAGATGCTGTCCTACATCAGAGACGTGACTCCACTCCATCCAGTCCGTAACAAAGAGGGAAAGACAGGTGAGGAGATGGAGGACGGTTTTAAGAGTTGTAGCGTCTGAAGTAGACAAAGTTAATGTGGGAGGGGGTGAGGAACTTGTGGAGTAGTTATTGTCCATTTATCGTTGGAGGAGATCTGCTCAATATATCGTGATATTGATTTGAAGCCATATCACCCAGCCCTACTAGGAGAAATTTTAATGACACACATAGTCTAGCTAGGAGGGAGTTTTCATGTAAAGGGCATTTTCACAGATTTTACTCAAATGAAATGAAATCAAATCCATTTGTAATGAATAGTTAAATCATGGACTGGTTTGGTCTGTTACATTTATCATGTTTTTTTTGTATTAGGGTTAAGTTTCCTGAGAACAGGGGTAAGACCAAAGTACAAGAAAATATCTAAAATAAACTTTACTTTAGCCTTGGAGAGAAAAACCGCTCTGTGTGCACATGAATAACTCTTTTCAAAGCCAGACAACCAGAAAGCAAAGTAGCAAGCCAGCAATCCATCACCGCAATCACGAGAAAAAGAAGCTGTCAGTGTTTCATCGACAGTGGCGTTGGAGGCCGACTTTGCGGGGCTCACTGAGCTTGTTTGATCTTTAACTCCCTGCTGACCTTTACACTGTTGTCCCATAAACAGTTATGGACCAGACGGGAACAAAACATCCATATTCCTTAAAAAATATATATCACCTTAGATACTGTCAGCAAGTCTGGAAAGCTGAGCTGCCATTTACTGTCAGTAAAGTAGAGCTGAGATTTATCAGCAGCTTCTCTCTCAAGCCTTCGGGAGGAGAACAGTTCATCAAGGCGAGCAGGTGGAGCTGTCTGACCTCATACAAACCTTTCCAGTTATATTAAACGTCTAAAGTTGTCTTGGCCGATGTTTGTCCCACTAGGGTGCCTCATTATGGTTCAGACTTCTAAGAAAAGTCCCCTCAAATAGGGTCAGCAGTGACCTTTGGGAAAACAGGAGGTACACACAGCCACAGGAAACAGTAAGCGTGCCCCTCACTGTGTTTGTTTATCTTGCTTATAATTTCATACCTATTTGAGGAGCTGCTCAGGACTCAGAGCCACAAAGGCAGCTTCCATCTTAACATGAGAAAAACAGTCGGCCCAAACAAAAAGAAGAAACGCTTGATGCGGTTCAATCATTCTGAACTGAAACTGTAGTAAAAGAATAAAAGATACTTTACCTTGGGTGTAGATGAGTGCAGGAAGTCCAGGTCTGCGCTGCACCCGCTTCCATGTAGAGCGATCATGGATGCCTGGAAAGTGTCATCCTCGATGGCAGAATAAGCATGATCCAAGCTCTTTTCAGCAGACAGGTCTGCTTCAGCGGTGTCAATCTGTCAGGATGAATGGAAGTAATCAAACTGACAGTGACACAAACAAGCCTTAATTATTTTTACACCCAATTTTAACAGAGAGTTAAAATTAGCATGATGTCCTGTCTATTAATCGTCAAAATGCGTCTAAAATGAGGACTTTATCCATTCTGACTTTCAGGACTAGATTTTAAAAAAGCACCAAAAAAAGCCGCTTTAGTAAAAAAGAGCATTTAAAGTATTTTTTTTTTCTTTCCAGCTCCTCAGGATGTTTTTTTTTTTTTCTCCCAAAGGCTAACTAACCAATGCAGGCTCAGCTCGGTAAACGACGCCCTCAGCCAGTCCTTCTTCCTCTCCTTCTTCAACCATAATGTTGTTGAAGGCAAAGGAATGGATGGTGGATGATGGAGTAATTTCCTGCTCACCATATGGGTGTGGAGAGTGGGAATATCCTAAATCCTAGGAAAGTGGAGAGATTCTTTCAGTGTCTCCAAGCTTGAGGTTAATAGATTTTTTTGTTTTGCGCCCAAATCAAGCACTTCAAAGTTAGTGTGGGATGGAAAAAAAGATGTTAGAGAAGGGGTTTCAACACTAACTATAGAGTTAAGCATTGATCCTGCGGCACAAGCAGAGAAAACACTCAAAAGGCACATTTTTTTTGACTTTGCTGGATTAATTCCTTGAGCGTTTCACGTGTATTTTTGGAGCTCTTGATATTGATTTAGTGTAGCATGCAGCCCAGGCAGCAGCTATAAGAAATGAAAGAAAAGCACACTTGAAGGTTTGCGCTTGTAAGACTCAGTCTTGGGAGGCAATACAATAAAACTTCCCCGAGAAGCACATTCCACATCCTGCAGGAGAGTTAGTTAACTCCGCGGAGACTTCCTGCCTACAGCTCTGTAATCCAGCTAGCCTTAGCGGCCCAGAGGTCTCACTGTCTCACGGCAGGTTCAATACGAGAGAAATTCGTCTCTAAAGCTGAAAGAATGCGAGAAGTTCTGCAGAGCGCAGGTGCCTGGAGCGATGAACAAGCAGTTTGAGTGAGCAAATATTTTGATGGGTGCCTCGGTGTGTCTAAGTGTAACAGCGGAGTTTGCGCTCTTGGAAAGTTCAATCACATCATAATGCGAAACAAAAGGGTATAGGGGGCGTTTTAGGCAGAGGCCGCCTCCTGGAATAACAGTGGGTGGAAAGCTTAACCATGCAAGCGACTCTTTTTACCCGCATGAAAAATTCAAGCCCTCGTAAGCCGAAACCTCATGACTGAATACTAAGTTGCATGATTTCAAAAGAGCCCTGACTCACAGCCGCACATACATGCAGTGATAAATCCCTGACATGCTGCAAATTTAACCAGAAATCCCACAAGCAGTATGCAGAGAATCCTTATCCCTCTACCCCCACATATAAGCCACATTGTACCTGCAATATTCAGGTTTAAAGCGAGGAAAAGTCATAATACGGATGCTTATTCTTACAGGGAGAGGTTTGGCAACTCCTATCTGCACCTTGCCGAGCTTGGCCCCCTTCAAGGCCTGGACGGCGTCCTCCAGGCTGGCGTTCTCCAAGTCGGTGCTGTTCACGTACATAAGTCTGTCTCCTGGCAACAGCCTGCCGTCCTGCTCGGCTACACCATTGGGAACCAGGGAGCGGATCACGATCACAGTCTTGGCGGGGTCCATAGGGTCCTGTGGCGGGGGAGGGACCAGGAAAGGTCAACAGGTAAACACATTGAGATCAAAAGGAAAATAATGGATGATCATAAAATACTTTCACGTGCGTTTATAGAGGGTTTAATATTGTCACACGTTTTCATGGATGCTCTAAATCCTACCTGATAGTCCAGAATGCTGAATCCCAACCCCCCTTCTCCTTTTTCAAGCTCGATATTCTGGATCTCCAGCTCCCACATCGCCAAAGGAGATCCTATCACCTCCTCTGTGACATTATCCTGTGTCGCTGCTGCTGCTGCCACCGCCGCTGCTGCATTTACTTCTGAGCCTTCAGCAACCAGCACACTGCTCAGGTCTGTTTGTTTCTGCTGAGGGGAAAAAGCCCAGAAATCTCTGAGTAACAGCATGCCTTCCTCACTTTTCACTCCCAACCCGGAGGCTGCTCGCCTCTAGTTGTGTCTCTGGCTCAGGTTTCTGGCAGAGGATAAAAGGGAAATATCTTTGGGATGTTCGGGCTTTAGTACATTATCAACGATAAGGCTGGAGAGATGAGAAACTATTTCTCAAAGAAGCTGCTTTTGATGCCTCATATCTCAAGCAAATGCTGTTGGCTACTGCTGCTGACGTCTTACTAGAAGTGGTTGTAATATACTTTCAATAATTCCCTGGTTATCAATGAATCTTCATCCATTGCTGAAAATGTAAAAGCCAAGGGAGAGTTTAAAAGTTAAACTCTGAAAAATCCCTAAATGACTTGAGAAAATCTGGAGAAATGTATGGATTTGGAAGAAATGCAAACTCCACTGTCACTGTTGTCATGACATGCAAGACTAAAAGTCTTCTAATTGTCATGACCTTGATAAAAAAAGGTTCATTTTACAATATAAAATTAAACCCATCAACGACAGAGATAATACTGATGAGTTGTAAAGGTACAAGAAATTCTTTTAAATTAACAAAAACATCAAATTCATGGTGATAAATGACAAAAATAAGTCTGAAAAAATCGATTACCTTTAATGACGGCGTTGTAGCCAAGGCCTCGGTCTCTGGTTGGACGGCATCCATGTCAGTCTGCAGGTGAGGGGCGGGCCTACAGCAGATCATGAATACACAGAGTGGAAGCTCCTTCAAGATTCTCACAACTTCCTTATGGGTCTCTCCAATCAGGGATATGCCGTTGACCTGCGACACAAAAAGTAAACGTTTGTTACCACACAATAAAAAGTTTGGCTTTAACTCAAATATCAAGGCAGTAACAGTTCACTATTTAAAGACTTTGAATAAAAATGAATCTGTATGAGGGAGTCTGAATTTAGGAATGCCAAGTGTCCAAAAGTGTAAGACTTAATCATCATCTGGCGGTTGCTGATGGGTCCTGAGATTGGTTTCCCTGCTGCTGCTGTATCCACAGTTTTAAAATTAAACGTCCTCTTTGATTGAAGGGATCAGATACCTCTAACAGTTCATCCCCACTGAACAGCTTGCCACAGCGGCCGACCGGTCCCTCAGGTAGGACAGAGCGGATGTAATGGTGCCCGCTGTTGGCCTCCAGACTGATGCCGAGGCCGCTGCTCTCACTGTATTTCTCCACCTGGGCCACCTTTTGTACAAAACAAACACATTTTTCATTTGAAATGATCAGAGAAGTGCTTTACCTTTTAAACATGAATTAGAGTGTCATACATCCCTGCCCAGGAGTGTTTGTGAGGGAATAAACTTACAACAACTTCATTACTTGGACCCAGAATCTCCTGCCACTTCTTCATAAGTTCATCCTCCTCAAAGGCTGTAAGCTTCATCCCTTTGAAAACACAAATATATAACATATATTATTTTCATACCAAACGACATAAAGCGGTGAATCTTCGGCAGCAATCCTATTGAAATCTCTAACTATTTACAAGGTGTTCACTCACGCAGTCGAAGCCTTCTAAAATTTTTAAACGACTGCGCTGTCTGTTCCTGACGGCGCCAATCTCTCTATTTCTTCACTGTGTGTTTGGCCTGTCAGTGTGGCCTTGACAACAGTAACCCTTATCTGTCAGATGTGTGCCCAGTATCCCTGCTGGTGCACTTAAAGGAGAATCCCCGGCCTTCCTACCATGTTTGTCTTCTGTTAGGTGATCCATGGCCGGACTGACATCCGATCCATCACCCTTTGTCTGGGGCACCTTTTCATCTGTGGTGACTGTAAAAAAAACACACACACAAACACACACAATGGACGGTGAGATAGACAGAAGCAGGCAGCGGCACAGACACATGACAGTATGGGCCATCGGAAAAAGGCATCTCCTTTCCAGTATCAGCACACAGGTATACTCAAACATGCACTGGTATTAGTTACTTGATTTAACATTCCACAATTACAGCCGCGCATTTCCAGCTTTATCATTAAACCTTTTACTACAGTACACAAAGAACTATCTTATTCCCCAATTGGTCAAAGGAGGACATGCAGAACTCGCTGATGTTCTCCATAAAGTCAGTCTATAAACATTCAAGGACTCCAGATATCTGTTTAATGATCCCGGCGCTTTCTTTAGTACTTCACACCACTGTTTATGTCTTCGGAGTTCCTCAGGGCACCGAACTGGTCACCCATGAAATTACTACCCATGCTGTCAGCGAGCCACTGTCCACACTGTACATCAGCACCTTTCGAGTGCAAACATAAAACTAATTCTCACTAGTCAGCGATCTGAGGGGAAGTCGACACTGACTTAACAAACAATTTACCTTCGAGGTAATTTCTCTCCTTTAAATGACCAATTAAAACTTTGTTAACCAAATCCATTACCTCTTATTTAAAGATTACGTCAAATATATCCTAGTTGTCACACAGACTTTCGATTTTCTCCTCCAAGAGAGCTCAAGGGTTATTTTCATTTGTGCTGTCACTCTTTCCTCAACTTTTATTATCCTAAGTTTTAAATGGGTGAGTCGCTCAAATTTCTTGACTTTTAGACCTCACAGTACCTTTGAAAAATCCAGCCTTTCTCTGTGTTGGAGCAACTGACTGCTATTTTTCCTTGCATTTTTTTTTTTCACTTTTTTTTTGAGTAACAACCTCCTGCTGCCAAATCTAATCCCTTTCAAGATCCATCCATCACGATCGACTACTTTTGCAATAGCCTGGAGGTCCCGTCAGTTCAGAGGAGATGAGAATCTCGGTGTTTACTCTCAGTTTGATGTTTCTATTACACATACACACAAAAAAAGAAAAACTTTAAGCATATCATGTAGCATCAACATACAAACCTCAGATGTCGCTGAAATGTTAGACTCGTCAAATGCTGAGTAATACATGCTTTTGCACAACTGAATACGCACTATCTTACTGTTTCTATTAGGGAGAGCTTTTACTCCCCTAACCTGAGGAAATGAGTAATATTTCGAGTCAAGAACCATGAAATGTCTTGAGTTTTTGGGAAAGCGATGTTAACATTTATCGGGAAAAGTCAAAGGTCTGTCCAGCCAGTATTTTAATCTGTCAGTGTAATCAACGAGGGAAAAAAGAAGCACTGAACGGGAATTGTATGACAAATTTTCATGTTTGTAGATACTGCTGTTTTCTGGGACTCATTATCAGTCAGTCGTGAATGTGGGCGTACTTACTCTAAAAGTGCTCTTAGGTTGAAGTGTCAAACAGGAGAAAAATGCGCAACTCTTTCTTATCAAGGCCAGTTTTAAACAACGTGAACATTTATCAACAAATACACTTTCTGCAGCAAATTCAGAAATATCATGATGATGAGTCTGAGAAGTTGCACTCTATTTATAAAAGAGGAATACTTCCTTTGTTTGTTTTTCATGATTTGACTCCAAAAGATGAGGAGTGGTGGGTGGTTGTTTTTTTGTTTTGTTTTGTTTATTCTCATAAATTTCCGTCGCTCTCTCTTTCTTACCTTGAAGTGACTCCTCTGCGTTCCTCCTTTCCAGCTCCAGCTCCCTCATAACGGCGGTGGTGGTGGGGATGGTGGTGCAGGGCGGCAGGACTGTGACGACGGGGGTCACAACAGGGGGGATCTCCTCGGGTTTAAAGCCCCGCCGGATCAGCTTGAGGTGGACTGTCTGGCCCGTGTGTCTGAGCACTTCCACTGCCTGCTGGTTGGTGTATCCTTGGATGTTCACCCCATCAACCTGGAGGGGGCGATAACTGGAGGGGGCGAATTTTCCATTTACACTTTACTACAAGGTTTGTATTTGAATATAATTAAGCATGCTCCTTGTACATAAAGATCACTGAGTATGAAAAAAGTGCCCCACTTTTAAAGAGTCATAGTCAATTACTTCCTAAAGTGGGTCCTACTGGGTACACCAGTCGAACTTCAGTGATGCAAGAAATTACAAACATTTTCACTTCATTTCTAAAGTCCTACAGTCATAAAATTAAACACTTTGAAGTGTTTTGTGCGTAAAAACGGTTTCATGTCAACAGTTTCTCGTGCAAATGAACATAGAGAAAATAGTGTTAGTTACAAAAGTCATTTGAAGGATACTTACAGCTATTATCTGGTCTCCCACATGTATACGTCCATCCTGATCCACGGCACTGTCTTTTGTTATGCTCTTGACAAAAATACCGGAGGGCTCTAAACAAAAAAACACAAAAACAAAAGAGTTGCAATGAATCAGGACAGAGAATGAGACTAAAAGGAGAATGCAAACAGATATCTCAGTTTGTTGCAAGCAAGCTTTTTCTGATCTCAGTAAAATTGTCAACATGCTCGGTTTGCTGGGCTCAAACGAAGCCAAAATTGAGTAGCTTATCAAAGCGAATCTCCTGTTTCTCACCTGAGTTTTTGTCTCCAACATATCCAGCGATGGTGATCCCCAGTCCCTGTGTGTTCTTCATGAGGCTGACGTCAAAAGCTTCAGCCTCCTCGTCCTCGTATCCCTGTGAAAAGATGAAAGCCGATGACAGGTACACAATCTGATAACTGCATGAAAGCAGCAGCAGCTGACTCAGTCATTTGACTACACAGCAAAACACACTTTTCAACTTTAATAATGAGCGATCTGAACATGTCAGCCGCGAAAAACTCCTGCGCGGTGAACAGAATATGGAGTTTGTCGCTCAGAAAGTGAGTCACTGGAATTCAGTCAGACTTAAGTAGGACTGAGTGTTGAAAATAACCATGAAATTCTGAGAAAGTAAAGCAATATCTACTCTCCAAAGTGTGAGTCATGAGTAATGCGAGCTTCGACTCTTTCTATTCCATTGATTCAGACTGTCAAGCATAAGACAGAATGAAAGTGGAGATGAAAAGCTGCACTTTAGCTCTGAAATGTTTTTGATGAAAGTGTTTGACTCAGAGTACCTGTTCTTATCAATTATGCTTGAGGTGATTTGTTACAGAGAAACAGCATCACTATTTTTGGTAATGAAGTGACACCTCTCCTCTCACCTGTTGTTCAGTGACAGTGGGGAGAGCGACAGGCATGACAGCAGAGACAGAGGGAGCCTCGTCTATGGGACCTCTGGTTACCATCAGCTTCACCCTGTTGCCGCACTGCCGGAGAACCTGTGCCACCTGCTCGCTGCCCATGCCGTACAGGTCAGTGTCTCCGATTCTCAGGATGTGGTCTCCGCTGCGCAGGCGGCCGTCCTGAGGTAGAAAAATAACATGTTTTTTTTTAATCTGGTTGGTGCAACATTGGTAAAAATCTACAACTTAAAGACTGCCAGCTCCTAACAAATGACTCATCTCACTCACTCTGAATGAGTCATCCCTACAACACAGAGGGTGTATCAAAATACAGCATAAGTAGATGATATATATTTACCTGATCAGCAATGCCTCCAGGAAGGATTGTTTTGACGATAACCCCTGTGGTTTTTCCTCCAACAATACCGAAGCCAAGACCTGTGCCATCGTTGACTAGCTCGATTGTCTCTACATGCTGCCACTAGTAAAAGAAGAAAAGCAAGAAAACTTTTTGTTTTATTCTTGAGTTACTTTTTTGGACTTATGTTTTTATTGACAAGACAGCTTGAGAGAGACAGGACGTGTGGGGAGAGAGAGGAGGAATCAGTAATCGATCCTGCAACAGTGCGACAAGGACTGCAGTCGCTGCGTATGGGGTGGGCGTTTAAACCACTCTGATTTTCTTAAGAGTTCAGTGTTGGAATTGTCTGACTGACTACAAGTAAATAAATGTAAAAATTGCCACTGACTTTATTGGATAAAAACCCCTTTATAGTGTCTGTTCAAGGTAGAACTGACAAAACCTCACAACCATTTATAGGTGAAATAAAGCTGATCTGCCTCTGAGCGAGCGATGAAGTTGGTAACTGTAGCAAAACAAACACAACAGAGGCAGAGAGGAGTCAAAATAGAGATTAAAAAAAGAAACAAAATGGAGGTGAAAATGACAACAGAAAAACAGAGGTGAAACAGAGGCGAAACAAAGGTTAAACAGAGATGAAAGAGAGGTGAAACAGAGATGAAACAGAGATGAAACAAAGATGAATCAGAGATGAAACAGAGATAAAATAGAGATGAGTCAGAGGTGAAACAGATAAAAGAGAGGTGAAGCAGAGATGAAACAGAAACTGTTTCAGATATGAAACTGAGACAAAACAAGGATTAAACAAAGATAAAAGTGATGAAACTGAGATGAAAGATAGATGAAACAAAGATAAAAAAGTGATTTAACAGGGTCAAAATAGTGACCAAATAGAGTCACAACAAGTGTATAACAAAGGTAGAAGACAGGCATCACAGGACAAAGAGACAGGCAATCTGTGTCACTATCAGCTTGACTGTGGATCAGCCGTTCCTCGATCAAAAGGTCGGGGTTCAATCCCAGGTCCACCTCTCTACATGCCAGTGTCCTTGAGCAAGACGCTTAACCTACACCACCTCTGCTGGCTGAGCCCCGGCTGTGGATGAATGGGATTACCTAACACTGGCGGGCGCTTTACATAGCAGCCTCTGCTATCAGCGTGTGACTGTAACGTGAATGGGTGAATGTGACATGAAATGTAAAAGTGATATTCTGGCAGGCTTGTGCGTGTTAAACAGACCTAAAAGAGGACTGTGTTCCTGAGAGGACAAGTACCTGTAATGCACCAGAGTTAGCAGAGAGTGTACTGGCAGCAGAAGGAGTGCGGGACACTGCAGGGCTGGCCAGCTGAGGTATAGGTCCTCTTGCCACTGTGAGCAGCACCCTCTCTGAAGCACTTTGCAGGATGCCGATCGCCTGCTGGTGGGTCACTGTCAGGTCCAGAGCCTGGCCATTGATGGCTAGGATCTGGTCAGCTTCTTTGAGCTTCCCATCACTGTCGGGTAAAGAAGCAGAAACACATCAGAACATTGTAAAAGAGATGGTTGCTGAACCTTTGAGAGTTAAGCCTCGTCTCTGTTTTGATTTTTTTAATGATGTTGATTCCTACACACCAGTGCGCCACACTTCCTGCTTGAATTTCCTGGATAAAGATGCCCAGCTCTCCGTGATTCTCGCTCTTAAGCCCCACCACGCTGAAGCCAAGACCTCCTGACACCGGCTTCTGCAGGTCCACATGTGTGACGTAGCGCCCCTAGATCAAACAGACGTGGAGTGTATAATATTCGGCTGCATGCAGACTCACTGTAGCATCAAAGCTACAAGCAGCCTTCAGAAGTCTATTTGTAGTGCCTCAAGAGACAAGAACTCAGCTGGTAGTCTGTAGTTCTCGTTTTCAACTCTCTGGATATTTCTTTCAAGTTCAGACAAACTTTATCAAGGTAATCTACCTTTTGAAAAAAAGATAAAAACAACAGAATAGTTTTGTTGCGACTGAGAGAAATGTCACTTTGTTTGCCTTCCAAAAGAAGAGTAAAGAAAGCTTGATGATTGCTGTCACTTTACAGCTGTGCGTACCTGTGCCATGGACTGTATGAGGCGGTCAAAGTCTTCCGACACCGTCTTGCCGTTGATGTGTGCAGCTGCTGGAGTATCTGAGTAGGAAACATGGCTGCCGTTGGGTTTGACCGCAGCAACATGATCACCTAGATCACTTGCACGTGTCACAGGAACAGTCCCCTGAAAACAAAAGAGTAAAACATTATGAAGGTGATTCTTTTGATGCCAGCATTAAATAATATCAAAGATGAGATGCATTTTTGGTTTCCAGTTTGCTGCTGCATAGCAGCTTCCAATGTCTGCAAAATTCCTCCTCGGAGAGCCGCAACTTCTGGCTGTAATCCAACCAAATACAATTAAAACTTGGAACAAAACCCACCACAGCTAATGTTTAAATTTAGCAAATTTAATTTGGACACCAAAACCCTGAAGTGTGGTTTGCGCGAAGCCACTGGGATGCCAGAGAGTTCGTTATCCCAGCACGATTAGCTGGATCCATGGCAGCCTAATCCTTCAGGAGATAATGGCTCTCAGCTGATGTTCCAACAATGACTCGACTCCAAATACAATATTTCCATCATGGGGTGGGGGGAAGCATCGCTAGCCATCTGGATGCCTTAATAAGCTCGGGTTTTAATTACTGCGATGACTTTACTTGTGTGACAGATGAATTACATGAAAGCTACAACTACATAAAACAGTGTTTCCCCGGTTTCATTAGCCAAAGGGCAGAACATTTATGACCATCTGAATTGGATTCAAAAGGACAGACATTATGCAGTGCAATAACTTCCTAAGCAGTCCATTTGGCATATGGCACAGCCAAGCAAAAGCTGTCCTTGTGAACTCGTGCATATACATACAGGAGAGAACTGCACAACTTTCAGATCTTCGGGGTACGCGGCTGTAAAGTCTGCCTCCTTTCAGCACAGCTCCAGATTACCCGTGAGACACAACAGTCTATAGGACAGGACACATTAGGGCAGCACTCTGCAAACAAAACCCTCAGGGTCAGGCTAAGTTAGCGTAGCATGCTGCTAAGTTGCTGTCCTCATGCATGAGCTTTGTTAGCTGGGGCCTGGCTAAGAGGATTAAAGTTCCAGTTTGGTTCTTGCACATTTAAGAAATTGTTTCTGCCCCACTTCACACAGCGGCCTCTTTCTCATTGGAGGAGTGGGGGCCTTGTCGCCATAGCGACACGGACTATGCAAGGCCTAACTAGCAGAGCCAGAATGACGGACAGTGTGTGTCTGTGTTTATGCGTCTGGCACTTGTCTCGAAACAAAACCCAGTACACACACACTCTCCAAATTGGTTCTACTGAAGGGGCCAAGCAAGTGCAGTGACACTCTATTAAAACATTATACAGACTTGTTGCAGCTTCTGAAATACCTCCCTGTACCTCACCATTGTTTCAGCATGGGAGAAACCTTTCTGAGATCTTAGGGATATTTCCAATAAAAGACTGCTTGATAAATTTGGCTTAGTTAAACAAGCATGCATCATCACACACACTCGGGAATGCACCTCTTTTTGAAATAAGCTTAAATCGCCTGCACACAAAAATGCCAGCAGGGCTTTTATAATCTAAATTCCACAAGGGGTAAAAAAGCTCCAGCATCCCTGCCTCCCTCCGCATAGCTCACATATTTCCGTCTCTATTTCTCAAACGCTTACCCTGGCCCCCTCTCCGCTCTGACTTAAGAGCTCTTTCCTTCCACTTAAATGTTCAATTCTCAATGGACAGAATCAGCCTAAAAAAGAAGTCCCTGACTTGGACCAACTATCTCTGCTCATGTTCCCATATTATATCTGGTTTGTGTGAACCCTGACAGCGAATTTGCTGTGGCAGAGACACTACTGGGGGATGAGGATTGAAAGTGGGTGAGGACTTGTGTCTTGACATGAGCCAAAATCTGAATCAGTGAGGTTACCAGGGAAACAGTCAAGATTACAGTGAAAGCGATCTTTTTCCAACCTTTCCTGTGGTTGTGAGCTGTATTCTTCCTCTGGATTTTGTTGTGATTTTCCTATGGACACTGACAATAGATCCCTGTGCATTATTCACTCTTAAAACAGTATTAACATGCCCATATGTTCATCAGCACCATTACTGCTCGCTGTAGTTGTTTTTCCTCTCTGTACCAGCTGTTGAGAGCTCCCTTCCTAATGTGATTCCACAGTCTACTTTCTGTGCAATAATGCATTCAAAAGTTCAGCCAAACCAGTTATGAGGCTTCAATATGCTGAATTAGTGTAATTAAATGGGCATCTTCCCAAGGGCACGGACTTTTTAGAGCAAAACTCTGTCTTTGTGCGGCTCTTTCTCCACTGCAGCTAAGCGGGGAAACACTGAGATGAGATTTGTTCGAATAAATTACCTTCATTTCGAATGACGACATATAATTTGGACAAACTCATATTGCTCAGTCCTTGCTGGGATTCAGAATACATTTGTGAAAAGACAGTCGAGAACAGAAACCATTTCCCCAATTTTTGACGACACAGGCATACTTATATGTTAACATACACCCTACCTTGCCTTGTGGAGAGAGGTAAAATGAGGTTAATGTGACACCTGGTTGTTTGTTTGATGTGCAGGACAAGAATATAACTTTCAAAAATGACACAAAAAGTTACTTTAGTTGTTTGTTTTTGTGCAGGACTAAAATATAACTTTCAAAAACTACTCAAAAAGATATTTGGGATGTTTTTTGTGCAGGACTAGACTATAACTTTTAAAAATGACTCAAAGTTACTTTAGTTGTTTGTTTTAGTGCAGGACCAAAATATAACTTTCAAAAATGACACAAAATGTTACTTTAGTGGATAAACTCATACATTTTCTTGAATATATGTCCTCTAAAAATTGTTGTCCAGATTGATTCACATGAGTCTCTGACTTCCAAATTGCCCTGTGTTATCTCGAACATCAACATGTCACCATGCTACCCCTCCTCAGCCAACATTATAGCCATAAAAACAAACAAATTAGCCCTTACTTCTCATCCAAAATGACTGCTACTGTTTATATGACTTTTGAAATGGACAAGTTTCCTGGTACCATCTGTCATGTTGGAAGTTTATACACATACATTGTTAATACAGTCCTCCAAATGACCATAACCTTGCACCCCCTTTATAATTCAGCATGCTAGCTTGGCTTTCTGGGAGTCCAGAGTCTCCCGTACCCAGCATGGTTATTCATATTTCACAACTTCACAGTCTTGCAGGCCTAGTTAAGCTGACAATTATGGCTATTGCACTGTTTACAAGCAAATAAAACCTACATAGCTTTTATTGCTTCAAATGGTCCCGTTGATATGAGTAATTGCAAAGACATCAACTGAAGCTTTACCTGGTCTCTGAGCTGCTGCACAGACTTCTGCAGGGCTAGGATCTGGTGGAAGAGGGGGCTCTGGAGCACTGACTTGAGCAGGCTGAGCTTCTCCTCCGTGGGCACCTCCCCCCGCTCCTTGAGTTTGGCCTGGAGACGCTCCACCGCCTGCAAGGCACGCTGTGTATCTGCAAACCGTCGCATATTTCAGTGACAGGGCCAGTCGGGGTGAAGGAGTGGATGCAGGGAGAGATAGAGGTGGAGAGAGGTGATGAGGATGGGGGCTTTATCAGCACATGGGCCGCAGAGATAGTGAGAAGGGGAATTGTGTTTGGACATGGCTGCATTTTATATTTAAATAGCTGAATTTGATTTTACTTTTTTTTAAAAACACAATCTGCTGTGGCAATTTGGCTCAAACCTGTCGCTTCGTCCTCATGTTTAACAATAGTGAGTAAATGGAGAATGGCGAAACCTGCAGGTTTAGCTCAGGCTGACTGGGCATCAGCGGGTTTTAGTATATCAAATTCACCTCAACAGAAGAAAAACTTAAATTCCCAGCACGCAGCTTGTTTGCAGAACATCAATGTTTCCTTTCGGCCCATAGGGTCAATGGTGGGTTGCACGGCAGTAAAGAATGGGTATCAGGAGAGAAAGATAAAAGACTCAAGCCCTCAACAGTTTGCCTGCTGGACCCTGCATAAGCCCCACAATCGAGCAACTCCAGAGTGGCTTGTTAGAGCGGATGGGCCAGCCCAACGTCATCGAAACAGAAATGAAGCAATTTCGAAAGCTCACCGACTGTGACTAACACCTAATAGGGCGTGCACAAGGTCCAGAGCACTTTTGCACTTAGGAGCTTTGTAGTTTCAACAAAAGCTGTAAACAAGCCAGTAACACGGGAGCCTGAGCAGACTTTTTCCTGTTCAATACTGCTCCAATGCAGCCGGCTATTTCATTGTCATTGCCCTCAACTTAGTCAGCATAATAAGAAGTCCCACCTGAGGGTTGCAAAGAGAAAGCGCTCAAAAATATCGCTTAGTATGAGCTTGGCAAAAACCCTTAGATAGGTATCACAGCTTGGAATTATGGGTAAAGATATCATTGGTTGACATTGGCTTATAGAGGCCCAGCATATATTTGCATTGGCTGATAGTTTTTGCAATCAGTTTCAATAAAAATCTGGTGTGAAATACAATACCAGGGATGATTTATAATGGTGTCATCCCATTTATTGCAGAGTATAATCAAATTGGGTCTAGACTCAGACTGGTTAGTAATGTTGTTTACTAAAGTTTTATATTCTTCAGTCAGAGAGAGCAGCCTCGTGAGAAACTTTGCAGAGTCCTTTTGGTGAAAAACAGATGCAGAAAAAAAAAAAAAAGGTCTGTTTGCATTCCAGTTTGAGAATCAAGGATAAACTTCAATATTGGCAATCTGGGATTTTTATCCCTTTTCACCAGATTCATCTTTTTTAGCTGGATCCAACGTTTAAAAGAGGACGAGGATAAAACTGTTCAAATTTGAATAGACTCCAGTTTGATTTGAACTAAAAGTATATTGCTTCTTTAATATTCTCAGTTTCTTAAATGCAGCCAAGTTTGTCGTATCACACCCCCAATTCTCAAACTGTCATATTTCGGTGTACAAGCACCCGGTCAATATGCCAGTCTTGAGAGTGACCACAGCTTGCAGCATTAAAGAAAGAAGCTGGCAGTACCAATCTGGCTCGTCGCTTGACAGTTGGACAAATAAATCTCTATGGGGACAAACAAACAATCAAGTATGTGGCAACATTATCAGATATGGCAACATTGGCAGTCCGCACGCCTTGAACGTAATCCAGGGCTTCTTACTCTGGTTGAGACACACTCCAAGCAGGAGCCAAACCCGGCTGCAGAGCCAGCGAAGACTGACTCCCAACCGACTGAACTGAACCCCTTTGCAAAAACTGCTTATTTAAGAAAAGAAGATTGGAAATAAAAGGCCCAGTGTGTATGCAGAGGCAGTGTTTTGTGTTTTGTCTAGCTTATTAGAGTCCAATTTAATCTCAATTAAGCTTAGTATTTTGTATCAGAGGCGTTAAAGCCTTGTCTGTTAAATGGGTAAAGATGGCAGAGAGAATAATGACTGGATTCAGACAAAAAATGAATGGCCAAACGCGTCTTGTTCACACTTTTTACGACTATTTTCTTCTTTGCATGAAACAATTACAAGACAGTAACACTAACAGCACTGGCACAAATAGAGAAGTAACATTTAAAAGATTGCATTTGTTGTAAATAAGAAGTAATTGAGAATGCCTTATTTTTACTTTCAGGGCCTTTAAGCTTAATGGATTTACTGCAAAAGCAATCAGGAAGTTAATTATTATAAATATAATCTAGTCTTGGTTGTATCATAAAACTCTGGAAGTTGTATCTTACAGTTGTATCTTACACAATGAAAACACAACACTTACCCATAGTTTCTATCATGTTTACAATTCCAGTTGGATGCGATTTGTCCCCATTAACGACAACTCTTCTTTTATTCACGGCCTGTAAAACAACAGAATATGTTAGCTCTTTTTTCACGACGGTCATAAAACTGAATATAAGGGCAGAGTTCCTCATATTTTAAAACTCCTAAAAGGCACTATTTATGAACAGTAAGTAAGAACAGCAAAGCTTTATTCTCCCCTGAACTCAACTTCTTAAACACTCTCCATCGAAAAGGTCAACATGAAAGGAAAAATGGATTTATTTCCTTTCAGTCAGGTCCATATTTATCTCTTAAGACTGCTTCACAATAACATCACAGAGGAACCATTGAGCTAAAGGACTGCAGGCTATTTACTGAGTTTCCAGCGTGGTGGTGCAGTGATTTTGTTTGAGCACATTTTTATTGCAGGTTTTTAGCTCTTTTATATTTCACTAATGCTATTATTGATAAATTCAAACAGGGTAATTTAAATCACTGGGACTTCCATTTAGCGCCTTTTGACAGTCATTTTGCCCTATGTATTACAAATCTACAGCCTCCACATTTTCTATATTTTCCTAAAAGAAAAATTTCACTAGAAGTGGGAAAAAATATCATCATTCTATTTGCAAATATGTCTGCCTGAGGCCAAGTCACCATATTTAAAGCTACTATGAGACGTTTTCGATGTTTATGAAATTAACTGGAATTTATTTTGATACCTTTTCATGATATCAATAGCAAAAAAATTAAAAAAGCACAAGATTAACAATTTTTATATTAGTGAGAAGGGGTAGGTGTCGGCTTAGCAGCCCCCTGTTTTTACAGTTTTAGATAAGATAAGCAAACACTGCTTGTCCACAAGGGGCGCCAAAGTCAACACAAACAAAAAATTCTTCACAGGAGCTTTTAATCTAAATATGGCTCCCGAACTAGTTTGACCAAGTGTATCAATACTGCTTCATACCTTGTGGTAACACAAATTAAATTTAGGATTTTAGAGTTGTTTTGCATACTTAAGTTCACCAGGTACATACTGCACATACATGTACATGTGTTGTATTATAATCTACTTCTCTAACACTTATACAGTGTTGCAGGTTCACTGGATATTATCACGTCATGTCGTAAAGTATCATATAGAGCAACTCTGTCTCCACTCTTTCATATATTTACAACAAGTTTAAAAAGTAGAAACACATAACCCTTTCTGCTTGACTCAGACATAACACAAAGCCTTGCGCATTCACAAGCTAATGATAACTAATTTATCTGGTTTAGCGTTTTATATCTGACTCCCGCTTGTTGTGGAGCTGTTGACTCCCATTTTAGCACCATCATAGTTGACTTAAGAAGTGGCTTTGTTTCCAGGATGTCATGAGCCAGGCAGACATTACACGATTAGAGGAGATTGGTGGGATAATTGAAAGCCCTGTATACAGTCTCAGAATAGCTACAGTACATGTGCAACCAGCTCACCACAATATTTGTTTGTTGACTTTCTTTTCAATAGATCAACAACTTGTGTCTTAAACTTTCAAACAGTACATGAAGTTTGTGAATATAGTAATGTAGCCTGGTTATATAAGGCCTTTTTTATCACTGTGATGTGCTAATGGTAACTGTGTATATTCTAGTTTTGAAGTAGTGCTAAAAATAACTGTACCAATAAATTCTTGTAGAAAAAGATATCAAACGTGAGTACTGGTGGGAGGTATAGCTAGTAGATTTTTACACTTTTTTTAAGCTTTTAAGCACAGTCTGCTATAACCCCTAAAGCTTATCGTGGATGTTGCATTCAGGGGCCTGCGAAACAGTTTTGTTGACATCCTGAGATTCCTTAACATTCCTAAGACAGACGTGATTCATATACAGAAGCTAGTAATGATTCACTTTAGACCTTAGGAGCTTCTTTTTATACTTTGAAATTCACCCAAAAACACTTAATTGTTGTACTTTTCTCTAAATTAACGGTTTTGGTGTCTTCTGTTAGCTTTGCTTTGGCAGTAACTAGCTATTAATAACAGGTTGTCATGTTATCGTGCTGCTCTTCTCCGACATTAAAGGTAATGTCGGTCGAGTCCTACATATTGTAATTCACATTTGCTTGGCGTTACAAAGCGTTTAGTGCATACGAAGGTAGATATTGTTAATGTAAACAGTCATGTTTTCTGGTATTTTGAATAAAGTCGCCATGGCACTCTGGGCAATCCGCTTTTCACAACTCCTCCTCCTCCTCCTTCCCCATCTCCTCCGTGGAGCGAAAAGAAGCAACAGGCTTCCGAGTGGGAGACGGTCGAGAAAGTCAAGATAGTATTACACGTATGAGGCTTAAACGCCCGCTGTACGCAACTGAAACATACTTTAAAGTCGAGAAGATAAGCGTTGAGGTATTTAATCCAGTGTTTCTTGCTGGATGACCCACAGCGACAACATACGTCTCAGAATATTTCCCCTCTAATTAGCGGCAATGCAGCGAACAAAGGCGACCGTTAGGAGAGCAGACGTCCCTAATACCCCCCGAAGACTTCATATACATTCCTACAAGCTACATTAGTCCAGAAATGACCACTTACATGAGTGTGGAGCCTTCGGTTGCCCGTCGGTCAGTACCCTATCCTATCCCCTGTTGTCCTGCGGCTAACGGCGCTCTGACTGGGGCTTAAAGGTGGGGCGTAGTGTAACTCGATCCTCTGTGGACATTTTCAGTGATAGCGGGACTGAGAGTCGAGCTGGGGCTGAAGCGCCGCTTGCTGGTTGCCCTGACGCCTAGGCCTCAGATGTCAGGCCCTGGGGTCTCGCAGTCTCAGCATCCTTGCCTTACTCCATAAACTATCAGGGTCTTTTTTCATTTTAATTTTTTTTTTCACTCAAATTGAGTACTGCAATCCGACTAGCATATGTGCTGATGTTTAGTATAACTGTACTACATTTTTGTTTTGATAGAGTACAGAAAAATGTAATTGTTTTGAGATTATGAGGTTATACATCATCTGTTGGGTCCATTTTTTCAGGCCTGCAAAACATCTGTGTGAAAGCTTTTAACCTATCACAAATAGAGAGCTATTGTCCTTAGAGGGATATTCCAGCGTAAAATAAAGTTAGGGTCAAAACACACCATAACACCGAGTTAGACACCCCGTGGAAAGATGGATGTTGCAGACCGCTTGCTTCTCTAGTTATACCAACTTTAGTAGGGACCGCAGGATAGCAATAGCCAGCGGTCTAAGGAGCCATAAACAAACCTCAACCATAACGCCACTCTATAGCCACAAATAATGCTCAGAACAGCACCTAACTTTATCAACAGTACATATAGATCCCAGCCATAGTACTAGCCACCAAACATCTTTTTAGCTTTGCCTGATCTCTTGACCAAAGAGACTAAACACAACTCACCTATTTTCTTCCAGCAGCCGCTTGTTTGTTGCGAGACCTCAGGCCAGTCCATTACGGACTGCAGCGGGGTGACACAGCTCAAGGAAGAACATTTGTGATCATGACTTCATGGAAATGATCATAAATGTTCTTCCTTGAGCTGTCACCCCACAGAAGTCCATACACAGCACTGAGGTCTCGCTACGAACAAGCGGCTGCTGGAAGAGCGTAGGTGAGTTGCGTTTAGTCTCTTTGAGACCCTATGTGTACTGTTGATGAAGTTAGGTGCTGTTCTGAGCCTTAATTGTGGCTATAGAGTGGAATTTTGTTTATGGCTCCTCAGACCGCTGGCTATTGCTATCCTGCAGTTGTTACTAAAGTTTGGTATAACTAGAGAAGCAAGCGGTCGGCAACATTCATCTCTCAAGGGGGTGTCTAACTCGGTGTTACGGTGTGTTTGACCCTAAATTAATTTTACACTGGAATATCCCTTTAATATCAGCATGGCAGTGACACATGCAGATAGTCCCAACAACAGCACCACCCCTGCTGTGCTATTTCTAAATTGTATCAGCCCTCCCTATTATGTAGCCCTTTTGTTTAACTTGCAAAAAGGAAAACCATTACATGACAGTTTTCATGGTTTGAATAGTGATGAACAACATCTGAAATCCTGAAGGTTAACTTCTTCATGTGAAGGGAAAACAGCCATCCTGTTTTGTCTGCGGCAGCTGGATTTAGTCCTTCAAATGATACCATTTTCGGATAATTGGCCTGACTGTCGCAGTTTCACAGGTGCAGAAGTTCATTGTCCATATGTCCTTGAGCGAAATGCCAGCTCTGTAAACTATATAAAAGAGGAAGAACACTGCTGTAGTCTTTTTAGTCATTCTGGACTCATTGTTGGACAATAAGCCTGACCAGAACTCCTCATGTTGGCTCTTTACAGTGTAGGAGATTCACTGTGAGTCAGATTTCATGAATATCTTTTCCTTTCGTTTCTGTTTTCCGTTGCTAAATAAACAAATCAGGCAAGCGGGAACTATATGTGTCATTATGCTTACCAAAATGAGTAAGCCTACTCCAAAACCATTTTAGTTTATCTGACAACCACATGCACCCCTCCTGTCTTAGTCAGATATCACTAATACACCTACTTACAGATGAATAAGCCATTCAGTCATTTAGGTTTGGTTTTGGTCATTGGTACAAAAAGCAGTTTGTTAGTCTCAGTAGACACTATGGAAAAGGACACAGCATGCAGCTAAAACCAGATTTTCTCTGTCTGTATCCTGTTTATAGGATTATGCACTCCATTTCAGGCAGGGAAGCGCCATGCTTATCAAATTTGATATGAGCTGTTTCTCAAAACGAAACACTCACAGAGATAGAAGCTGCCGCCTGTTAACTCGTGTCTCAAATCTAACAGCACCAATACAGTAGCAGTTCAGTTAACTTTTTTTGTACTGTTAGGAAAAGTATCCCAGGTAGTGACAACTCAGGCGGACTGTCCATTTGTCCTTTGACCACAGAGCTGAAAAACTTTCGAACTTTTAGTTTTCATGGATCAAGACCTTCAGAGGAGGGTAAGAAAGAGCAGGGTCACTCAATAAGAAGTCATTTCAACAAGGGGGAAAGGGATACAGGCAGCTTTCAGAGAGCTGATACCGACTAAATCCCTTCACCATTTATATCTTTGGTTCTACCTCCCTCTTATCCACCCAATAACTCCCCTCTTACTTTGACAATAAGCCACTTTTATGTGGGAGGTCTGACTCAGCCGAAAGCAGAAAAAGGCGAGAGATTGAAACAAGAAAGGAGAGGAAAAGAACAATTTCAGCCCAGTGCTGGGATTCTTAAGCATTTTGTATTTTTATACCTGCCTATCAAAAGCCCTGGGCTGTAGTTGTCATTTATAACAGCCCAGTAGTATTTAACATCAGATATGAGACTAAATTCAAATCTAGGGTTTATATCCATTCATTTTTCAGCTAACTTTGTGAAATCGATTAATTCAGCGTAGCTTAAATACAAAGATGGATAGGTTTATATTTGTAGTTTAAGCCACGAAACTCATTTACCTATAATGGGAGCTCAGTATGAGGTACTCCCCATGAGCTCAGACGTTACTAATTGCATTAACAAAAGCCCCCTGTCATAAAAAGTAGAGCACACCTAAATGGCTTACCAATGTGATTAACACAATGAGATACAACTGTGTTGGTGGGTCAAAAAATACACTGTGGGCAGGTGGGAGTCATCAGGTGTTCTGTACAAAAATAGGATTGGTAATGGAAAACAATGAATTTTCCTCAAATGCATTATATTGACATATAGCACCAAGTTAAATTAAGCAGGATGAGATTTTTTTTTGTTAGAAAACATTAGATTAGCATTTAAAAGACAAAATAAACGAAGACTGCTTTGTCCACCAGGGGGCGCCAAAATTGACACAAACCAAAAGTTCCTCACATGAGCTTTCAAGTGAACTTTTATTAAACTATGCAATAGAAAAGTAAATCTCACTTTGCTTGTGAACTGACAAACAGAAATTCCAGTCTAACATAAATTGACCTTCTATACATTAAACAAGTAATAGACAATGAAATGACTCCCCAACCCCGTGGCTTTAACCTTGTTCTGGCTGAGTTAGCTTATACAGCTGATAGCTCTGCGGCAATAAAGGGGGAAGTTATAACGAAAGGTCACAGTATTTCAGTTAAATGACAACCATCTCGGCTTTAAAAAATGACATCACCGTTGGAAAACCATTGATTTTCTTTGACAGGACTTTTCTTTTTTCTTACCAGCAAGGTGCACTCATGGAGTCATAAAGTGTAATAAGGAAAAATAACCCTGAAGGGATCACATCTTCAACGACTGAGCCGTATTGGCAGAGTAAAAGCTGGCATTGTCTGCCTGTCTTGATTTATTGCCAATAAATCCATCAACATTCAAATAGCCTTTGGAACTGTAACATCCCAATTGATGTAAAAGGGTTCAAAGAAAGTATGAGGCATCATGATTTTCATACGATAAGGCTAGCTAGAGACTAATGAAACAATAATTCACTTAGGAACAGGAGTCCTCTATTATAGATGAAACAATCTTTCCTATTCTTACAGCATCTCAACACTGTTTAAATCACCTTAAACTCCACCTGAGCAGTCGAATATGGGGCCAGTAACACTAAATGTGGTGCTTTAAAGAACAAGTGTAGTTTATTGAGTTGAAGGTCGTAAAATTTGGAGGGTGATTCGAATTTTAAGGCAACAGGAGTTAAAAGACTGATCTCAGCAAGCCTTCAGAGTCAGATGACCAAGATTTGGCCTCATGAAACAAATCTAGAGTCAACTTTTGGTGACTTTGAAGCTCAAGCTGGAATGGAAACAACAATTTTTTTTACAGCAAAATTATACGCACCGTATAATAACACCCAAAAATGCAAAACAAAGCATTGCTCAAAAGATTTAAGATACACCCATTGGTTAAAGCAGGCGAGAAACAGAGAAAATACACAGTCAAGACTTTCAATGTGAGGTTTGATTGGAGAAAATGTGATCCAGGTCAGTTATTGTCAATGTGTGAGAGCTGGCAGCTGTGTGTTACCTTGCCATTTCTGAGTGTTTTCACCTCACATGCTGAATCATTATGGATCATTTATTCTTCCATCTTCTTTTCAAGTTTCTGCAACGTTACATTCAGTAGAAATTACAACGCTGCGTCATCTGAAAGGGCTTTGAGTGCAGTTAATTGACCTATTCAACCTCGGTATACTTGACTGCTGAAAATAAGGCTTTAAAGCAAATATCCAGCAGTGTGATATGCTCTTAGTCTCGTTTTGTGGAGGTTTTAATGTTCAGTAAAGTCAAGGGCTTATGAATGCACCATTAGTGACAACAAGGGAGTTAAGCTGCGAGTAAAAAGAGTGTTTGAATGAGTACCTTCAAGCTACGAGGAAAAGGCCAGTCATTTTTCAGATGAAAGATTTGGTCTTTTGAATACGATGGATCATGTAAGAGGGTTTAAGAGGGTAAATTCAAATTCATTGGTCATATGAACACTGGTGCAAGTTCTACTGTTTGTAATGAAATCTGCTAGTTCCTGTTCAGCTTGCATTTCAAAGCCTGGCTCTTTCCATGCTGAGCCCAAGAAGTGTAAACTTACATTTGGTCCAAAACTATAGTTGAAGCAAAATATGTTATTTCCTCCATTTAAAAAACTCACTTGTTCCATTTAGCCCACACTATAGAAGTTATTTGCAGGTGACCGGCTCAAAAAGCACTGATGTAATACTTAAATGAACTGATTTATCGATAAAAAGCTTTAATAACGCTGCAGAGAAGATATGATGCAAGTATCAGATGAACAGGAGTGTGAGTGATTTGGTCTTTGGAAAATGTAGCGTGCAGGTGTTGGTGAGAAAACAAGAGAAAGAGAAAGAAACCCAATAAGTCTCATAAGGAGAGTCGTCTTAAAGGACCAAAGTGGCAGCTTGAGTAATAACTGAGTGCACTCGGCCCTTGTCCTTTCTGATTTTTCATCACCTCCCAGTTCAAAGGGTTGCAGTGTTGAGGTTTAAACAGTTCATCAAACTTGAGTTAAATATAAAAGTAATAAATGAGAGAGAGAGATTCAGATTAATTACAGTTTAAGGAGACTAAATTATGTCTCATAATTACTCATATGCCAGTAGTAGATTAAGTTGATGCCTTAAAGACACAACATCTTTTATTGCCAGAATGAACATGACTTCCTTTAACATAGGCCTCATTTGTAAATTGACTATGGCAGTTCTCATTTTTTATAATAATTGTTGCTTGAAAACTATGACTAACACATCATGTATGAGCCACACCAACCTCCAGTTTTCCTATCAGGATCCAGATCCACATCTATTTGAACAGATATGGGTAACACACCCCTAATATCTGGCAACTG